GTACACCTAAACTGCCTTGCCAAGGCGAAACGCCGTATGAGCTTTCAGGCGTTGCCAAATTTCCTTTGATAGAAGATTTACCTGGTAAACTTGAAAATGTTATTCCTCAAATTCGGATAATTTTGTACATAATTTTACCTCGAACTCCCGTAAATTTCAAGGACAAACATTCATAATTTTCCTCAAAGATACATATCTTATCGAAGGAAATCTGGCATGTCTAGAACGTTCATACGGCGTTCTTCCTTAGCACGGTAGTACAGCCCATAGGATTCTGTAGCTCATCTTTAGGCAGGGTTTCACACCTGTCAGGGAATACTGGGGAAAGTCAGGGAATTTTAAAAAGGGATACTTTGAAATGTCAGGGAACATTTGTTAAGTCACCTTTATTTGCTTTCTAGAATGGGTTTGAAGTTATGAAGAACTTTTCCTTCAAAACTATTTCTAATTATGTCTCTTTAACCATCTGGCGTATCTTCAACCGTCGGGAAATTTCACCAAAATGCGTGACGGGAACAGGGAAATTTCAGGGAATTTTATTTTCTATATTCTGTGGTAACCCTGTTTAGAGAGATCCCTCTTTTTTTTGGGGGGGGGGACGTCCCAAAAGTTGTTTCCTTTGACTTAGGCGCATTCACAAGATTCCAAGGTTTCATCTTAATTTGTTAAATAAATATAGGGGCGATGCATTCAGGGCCGGATTTACCTACTTGCCGCCCATGGGCCGCTTGTATTTTGCCGCCCCCTTCTCATTCGTTTTGAAACATCAATGAAAACCATCAAATGAACGTGCCAGCGGGGGAGGGGTGCATAAGACGCGTTTACTGATGTTGAACACATTTTTTGGGAGAGCCCTGTCAACACTACTAGCAAAAGTTCACGGAATTTTGCGCGAAAGTTAAGTTTCGTAAACCTATCTCTGTGTGGACAAGGCCTTCCGTTCCTAAGAAATGAACGAAAAAATTATGAAAGATCAAACATAAATGTGGATAAATGATTTTAAATTCCGCCGCCGCGCCTCGTAGACCGCACTGTGTTTGACGCAATGCGTTAAGTATTCACGCAGTCTTGTAGGCGCTATGCGTCTCCCGCTGACCGCACCGTGTTTGCCGCAATGCGTGAGGTATTCATGCATTCTTGTAGGCGCTATCCGTTTCACGCTGTCCGCAATGACCGCACCGTGTTTGATGCAATGCGTGAAGTATTCGTGCAGTCTTGTAGGCGCTAATATGTGTTACATGCCGATCGCCGCGCCGAGGGCTTCTCCTTTTCATCTCAAGTCCTCGTCATCATTTCTCTCTAGGTAAGCCGCGCGTTCCAGGCCAAATTGCGTGTTTGGTTTCTCTCTTAACTCGACTAATTAAAGGTGCTGCCTCTTGTATCACTGAAAGACGACAAAAGTAGAAACTACTATACTCTCAGAAAACTAGAGATTTTGTCGCATTTTCTCGTTTGTAATTTCTTTTCTGAATCCGAATTTTTTTTATACCTACATTTAAAAAAATTGCAAAATTTGCCGCCCCCTACAGATTTGCCGCCATGGGCCGCGGCCCATGTGGCCACCCCCTTAATCCGGCCCTCGATGCATTAACCTGGTGTTGCGGAATTTTTGAATCACCCTGTATGTGTAGTGAGACGCCTTTGGCCGCCGATTCGAATGGCTGGCGCGGCCCCGCGGTCAGTGCCTTTGCTTTGGAAAGCTAATACTCCTAGCTCCCCCCATGGAACTAGGGCAAATCATGTGAATTGACAGCGGAGGCCACAAAGCACTGCGGCTCGTTTCTTCTTCCTCCATGTCTCGCTCAGCCGTTGCATAAGCTGCAACAGCTTCAAAAAGAATCGAATACCCTGTGAAACACGGTGCCGGAATGTCGTCGGTGAAAGTTTACAAATACGTAACTCCTTCGCTGTGTTTCAAAATTTACGCGTTGAAACACCGAACTTTTTCAGTTTAGGTAATCGAAGTCTTCGGTCACAGAAACCGAACTTTTTTCCTCAGTCTGAAAAAGACGTGTTTTCGTAGGACCATAAAAATTAAGGTCTTGGGTGCAGAAAGGGAATTTCTTGGTTGCTGCATGTGGTTCAGAATTGTCACTACTAACTTATATTTTAGAGAGAACACTTTTGGGTTGATTTTCTGTTTTTCGTTTTCAGCATCGTAAAATCGTGTATAAAAGTCAGTGTAAGTTTCAACGAATTCCACACGTTTGCTTTTATCGTAGTGGATGAGATGTTAGCGGCGATTCTGAAACACCGCAACCAATGAATGGAAGTATTTATGCTAAAATGAATTATATGCATAGGTATTGCGTGCAACATATTGCTCCTTTTAGCATAAATACGTCCAAATGCTGTTTCTGCACCCAACGTCACCCAAATCATGTCTGACTGTTCACACTAGCTCGGTCCAACATCCCCCCCCCCCTTCCCATCAGCGTTTATCATTTCATGCACGACTCCTAATGACACTCAAATTTGACCATTTGAAAGGCAAACCACTCTCCCGCACAAAGGCGTCAACAAACACTTTATGGGCGCCGAAACGATTTCAGCTGTCGGCGCGCGCTCGAACCGTAGCGCCATACGTCAGGTCGGTGGCGCTCCAAGAGTCATTGAACCCCTCCCTCCAAACTCCCACCACCAGCGCCTTTCTCTCGCGCCTGAATTTTTTTCAGAGCTTCGCAGCTATTCCGAAAGCTCATCTATATGCGCGATACGCGCTGCGTAATCCCAAGTGACAAAATTAGTGTCTGGCAGATGTCGTCTTCCGCTTAATTAATTTGTCTCTATTGGATGTTTTCAATTTGAATACTGATGTCCAGGTTCCATGAAAAGCGGGTCAGTCAGTCAGTGGCGCGGATAATTTGTTCCGCTTTTCCACGCTTTTCTCTCGACAAATTTACTCAGATGCTGACTGACCTGTTTTTCTTTTCGGGATAGTGAACGGTGTTTTTCCGCCGTGCAAAGGGAGAACGTCGTATGAACCTTGAGCCGTTGCCAAATTACCTGTGTTTAAATGTCCATTTTCAGAGGAATCTGCGAATTTTTTCAGAGAATTTTATTCGCAATCAGGTCTAAATTATCTGAAAACTTCAATAGAAAATATCCATAACCCTCCTCAAAAGTAAACTTTTTATTCCTAGATGCCCAAGACTTGTTTTTGTCTGCGCGGGTCGAATTAATCCGAATTTGAATGCATCGATTTTGATAGTTTTTGAAATATTTTATTTCTATATTTTTAAAGGTAGGAAATACTTGTTTTGAAATTGTCACATTTTTGGTAACAAACTTGCACTTGCTCACCCCCTCACTCCCTCTCACCTGTTATATGTAACTCCTCGACAAGAGATAGTTGGATCAATTTTTTAAATAATTTAACCCGGCTTAGATTTTCTGGGGACAGTCGTTAAAAAAATGCCGGGCATGACACAACTCCCGCCAGTAACCCAATTTTCGGACGAGTCCATCTTAGGGCACTTGAGAGACCCCTATTTTTATTTTACGTTATTTTTTTAAATGATCGTTGATTTGGAAACATAATAGCATATTTTAAGCTTCAACCTCAACTTTTCTCCAAGAATTAAAGACACTTCATCGCGCGGTGATGCGACGTAGCAGAGATATAACTATTCGCATTTGACGGATGTCCGTGTTGTATCTACAAAATTGAAGGCGTGAACTCACTCGATATACTCCGCTCTATTCTACCAATGAGATGTCGCTCAGATTTTGGAGATAAGTTCAAAAATAAGGCCCGATTACTTACGTCTCTCCAATCCTCGTTTGTTTCGTTCACGTACAGCCTTTAAAGCACCACTATTATTAAGACAAACGGAACTAACATAATATGGAAATGCAGCCAGGGAAAGGACGCGGCGCAATGATACAACTATTCGTGCTCGGTGGATGTCCGTGTTGCATCCGCAAAATTGAAGGCGCCATGGCGCGCCGCATGAATTCGAAATGTTCCACTTACGCTGCCCATGAGATGTCGCTCAGATTTTAGAGAGAAGTGTAAGAACGAGGCCTGCGTCTATCTTCGGCTGTGTTGATACTCGATTTGTTTCCTTTTTTTTTCAATTTGATGACTGATTCTTTTTTACGAGGTATTTGTAGATCTATATCTAAAGCTCGCAACGTCCTCCCTGCGTCAAGAGTCATTACGTACAACATACTTTGTGATCAGGAAAGTTATAGGGATCCGGGAGAAATTCTGGAAACACCCCTCTTATGACGAAAGTCTCAGTTGGCGGAAATTGAAGCATGTTCATAACAGAGATATCCCCTGTTGTGTCTACATTCTTGGTCGTTGGAATTAATTTGAATAAATCTTAATCTAGTTTTCTGGACGGCTCAATCATATTTCCGCTCAGTTCCGTCAATCATTGTCCCAATGTCCCACCCACGAATTGCTGCATCGCATCACATTGAGAAAGTACGTTTCCGAGTAATTTTTCACCTCAGCCTGAATTTTTTTGTTGTCCTTCTACCTCCTATTCTTCCGCTGCTTCCTCGTACTCTTCACCTTCGCTTTGTACCTATTTGTTCCGTCTAAGATGACCTTGATTTAACACATCAATAATGTCAGCTCTTTGTAGGATCTTTTCCGACGACAGATGGGAAATCAGAATGAAAATGTCACCTCTGATGAAAGTCGACCTTCGACGATTGTGCTGAAAAATAGCTCACAGATACCTAACGTCCCAATGCCTTTCTTTGTACTTTAGGAGTATTTTTACTCTGTTTGACCCTTTTTGATCAAATTTTATTAAGGGGGAGGGGTTGTTTTCTTACATTTTTACCTCCGAAGTGAGATTTTAAACGGCCAAGATTTTCGAGCGTCATTCAGCAAATTATTTTTTTATACTTCTTACAGCTCCTGAAGTGCTAATAAGAGGCATTCATTCAATAAAGCCGCTTCTGCGACCGAAGTCCTATCCTGTACGTGTTCAGCAAATGAACTGCTCATCTCTAACCCTCAATCTTTATTTTTGTTTCAGGGCACCACACTGTTGTAGTCACTAATTTTCAGAAAAGGCTTCTAGTCCTTGCGAAGAAATACAGCAGCATCGCTGAAGTTCCCGAAAGAGTCTCGTAAGTTCTGAATTCCCTAGCTTTCCTATCAGTACATGCCACTGAAACCTGCTACAAACCCCTGTTTTTCTTTTCTTCCTCCAGCTAATCAGTGAGCTGTAATAATTTCTAAATAACGGCAATACACTCCCAGCAAGCCTAGCAGCAATGACTCAGAAAAAATGTACGATTTTGGAGCACTTCACCTTGTAATTAAAATTCACATTTTTTTTTTTGAAAGAGAAAAAAATATACATATTCAACTACGTATTAAGAATTGTCACTAGGAATTTTCTAACGTGGTTCCAAAAGAATTGTATGCGTTTGCACGGAGTTATTAAAAATTTATAAGTTAAGGTAATTAATTTTTGGATCTGGAAGATCCTTACCAGTAGCACATATTTTTCTCACTACAATATGGACAGAAAATATGGAGGAAACTTTTTTCGACCAAAAAGTATTTAATTATGAAGTGTCTCAATAAATGTGGGACTGAGCATTTCTGTAACTAAAAGCAACTTATCTTACATTGAACCTTTGCAACATTTCAACAATTGCTCCTCAATGTTTACCCAAGCATCATAGTACAATCTCTCATATTACTTGTTTAATACGTTCATTTCTTTTTTTGTAATTGATAATCAAAAATTTTGATTTTTTCCGTTTCTCTTATTCTAGACTAGACAAACTCCACCGAGCCCAGGATCTTTTCCGTATCAGAATGGCCACCTACTCTCTGGGTTTTGTCACTATTGGAGCCTTGATCATGATCATCAGCGGCAAGAATGCTGCCCTCCGAGGTGACAGTGTTGAACACAGAAGTGAAGAGTGGCACCAAGATTGGGAAAAGAAACATGCAGCCGAAATAGCCGCCAAAAAGGCACACTAATAACCTTACTCCTCCTGCAAATAGTCATACCATCGAATAGCTGTAGCTGTGACTTTTTACTGATTTTCAGCTCTTCATAGATGCGTCTTGATTTTGATGAAATTGAATGTTTTCTCTTGTGATCTTGTAACCCTCTCAATGTGTACAAATGAAATCACTGAGGTAGAGTGACATTTAGCATTATTACAAAAATACGGTCGATGCCTCATAAAAGCATGGTGTAAGGCAGAAAAAATTTCAAAGCAATCTAATTCTCTATTTTTTTGGATGATCAAAGCGAAAGAAATCAAAAATATGTCATATCTACCTTTGTCCTGTGAATGTCAGAAGTCAGTTTGTTTGTGTGTGTGTGCATGTTCGTATGTATGCTGCCGGCAGATAATCTTAAGCGTGTGATAAAGACAGCTAGTGTAAGTGTTAAGTAAGACTGATGAAAGTGTTTATTGGATGTTATGAAACGATGGAACTGTCCCCAATGTTCAGATAGAGGTGTTTTTATGATTAGAAGTAGGTTCGTTTCCTTTTACACATTATCAGTTATAAGCGTTTGGATAGATATGTTAGACATAATTCAATTTTTTTTTCCACCTTATAATTGAACTTTAACATGGCTGAATCTTGACAAAATTCAGTACCTAGATACTAAAATTAGTTTTCACGAGTTTATACTATGCAACAATAAGTCACTAAAGTAAAGAATGTAAGTACAAAGTTAGCTAATGTTAATGCTGGGTAGCTGTTAGCATGGTGGGTGTCCTAATTTTTGTAGATTTAACTTATTCAAGTAAAACTAAACCTCTCAGTAGTCTTCTCCTTGCAGCTTATCTAAGTGTAACAAAATGAGAATTTTGAAAATCAAGGGTTATCTATGAACTATTATTTAGTCATCAGGTTATTTTCATAACTGTTTCTCTGTTAATTCGCTTTGATTCCCTTGTTCTACCGCTTCTCATTTTGTCATTTTTCCCTATTTTTTTCGTTTTTTTTTTTTTATTTAGCTTTATCTGTAACATATAGGAGAATATTTATTTATCCTTGTGTATTTTTCAACATCGCTTTTGAAGATTTTTTAAGGTCATGAGACTCATTTCAAAGTGGCCATCTTTTTACTTGCAGTTTTAGTCATCTTTCACAATTATTCATCTGTTTATCCATTCGATGCTAATTCTGTCCAGCAAATTCCCCCTCTTCTTCAATTTGAGATGAATCAAATCAAAATTATTTACTGAAAAACCTACTTTTACCTAGATCAGATCAACCTCAGTTTGAACTTTTATTCAGTCTGAAAGTATCCTTTAACTGTGATCTTAATTTTTAAATTTTAAATTATTGAGGCAATTTTTCAAAATTTAATCATGAAGTGTTTCGACCTTCCTTGTAGGATAATCTCATGGGAATCGAAGTCACTCTTTTTTCTTTTCAGTATCCTAAATTGGAGTTTCTGAATAACTCCAGCTGATTGTATGTATCTTATGTTTTTGAGCAAAGGCTTCTTTCAAACCATGGACCGTTGACTTTGTCTTCTAACTGTTCATTTGCCTGTTCCTTTCCCATTTGGCTCATGCTCAAGCACAAAAAAATATGTGGATTATCAAAGAAAGAAAGAAAACAAGTCTGCAACTAAAGTTACCGCAAAATTTTTAAGCTTTCTTATGCTCATTTGAGTACAATCTAGACTGGATCTCCCAGTCAGTTTGAGATTGGTTAGCTGAAAGGCAGAACTATGAACTCCTATGACTTATGCAACTGTTGGCCAGGAATAATACGATTTTTAATGCTCAATTTTTTGGTATAAGGAAGTTAAAGTAGCAATCAAAAACAATCATATTCTTGTGATAAAACTAAACCAATAATTTTATAATGCCCCATAGATCGTTTTAGATCATTGGGCTGCTCATTATCAATCTCAATCTCACTTGTTCTGATTGTCACATGCTGTATCGAACTTCAAAATTCGGAGATGAATCCTTTGAACTAAGTTGAGTCCTCAGTTTTATTTATTTTCTTTTTTTCTCATATTGATTTATTTTGTTGTGTTTTAGTTAGCATTTTGAATTTAGAGCTGTTAGTTTTTAAGTTTTATTCATTAGATTTGTAAATAATGCTGTCTCATTTTTATTAAAGATTAAATTATTTTATCACAAAGACTGACTACTGGTCCTTTGAATTGTAGAAACGAAATTTCTGACAAAAATTTTAGAACTCCAGTAGGCAGAAATCTTATGAAAGAAAAACTTCTTCCTCCTTTTTGAAATTTCCATAATTTGCTATTTGCCACCCTATCAAAATGGGTCAAAACTCGTTGTTCAAGTTTTCAATGGAAACTGTAATGCAACAAGAAAAATAAGGTCTTGTCCACACAAGCGCAGTTCGCGGAACTTGGGCGAACTCGTTCCAGGAACTTAATATAATTTAGCTATAACTTATCTCTTAAACCCCTGGTTCATAGAACCAATAAGCAAAAACTACACTCGTGTGCAAGGCCTAAAGAATAGGATGCAAGCAATTGTGGAAGTATGCGCAAGAAGGTTCCTAACTAAAAAATTTCAGTTTTTCAGAGAAATTTCAGTTTTTCAGAGAAATTTCACTTTTGTTTTTCATTTTGGTAAATTATAAATCGAGCTATCAAGAAGTCCTCGCAATTGTAATGAAATTTAAGTTTCAACAATTAAAATTTGCCCGTTTAAAGTTATGTTCTTGGTATAAAAGAAATATGAAAGCTGGGCGACAGGGTAAATGATTTTTTAAATATGAACCTCCAGTCTCTTGGAAAGCAGAAAAATGTCAAATAGATCCTGACAAGTAACGTTCTGGTATGTGCAGAGGTAAGATGGATAGGTATTGAAACAAAGAATCTGCCTTCACTAAAATGCGCATAACTTACTAAATTTTTAAAAGTTCGAGTAAAGTTCCTTCAGGATAGAAGGAATTAGACAAGCCGTTCTTTGCAATTAGACTCGTGCAGCTCTGCCGAATGACACAGGTTACAATATTATTGCAATCATAAATGGTAAAATTATTGCTATCGCATCCAAATGTTGCATAGGTTGCCTATCTATAAATGGAAGGGGCTCCTCTACTTGAGTTTATTTGCCATACAATTTATTATAGTTGAAATTTTATCTGCGTTGCTAATTGCCTGTCTTCCCTAAACATGGAACTCATTCTACGGATCATTTAAGATGGGCATTTCTTAGTGAAGTGATCTAAAAAGAATGCAATTCCATGGTAAAAAAATCGAAATTTCATAGCACTGAATTGCAATTTTATCTCAATATTTTCATTGCACTGTGCTGCTTTAGCACAAGTCTTCTTGCATCCACCTCCTCGGTCGAATTAACAGCTGTTTCCATAGAGCACAGTTAACAATTAAACGATTAAACAATTTTGAGTCCATAACAAGTACTGCAGGGTGAAACTTTGAATGGCCTTTTTCTCACAGTTTTATTCTTTTGATCCGACAACGTCGATCTGATATAACTTAGGCTGCAGCTTTCATGTTATGCGCACACATTTTTGCAAGCACTCCTCTATTTGGCAGTGCCATTGACTCAGCGATTAGTTTTTCTACACTGGGGTCCTTCTCCTGCTCAAGATCACTAATTAAAATTAAATCATGTGGGGCAAAAAACCTGTGGTTTGAGCAGAAACTTAGAGATGAATACCTAAACACATTTGATTTTTTGTAATCTTCTCTTGTGCGTGTCTTGAATACGATTTTGAAGAATCTGCAAAGCAGGTCTCTGGAGACTGGCATTGAAAGTAGGAAAAGACAAGGTCTCAGAAAAAATAAGAAAAATGTTTAATCAAAAACAACTAGATGATTGTTCTGAAGTATTTACAAAATATAAAAAATTCTGTGAACCAGCAAATGATCTGACAATTCTTCAGACTTGTACTAGCTAGGCATCAATTTTCAGAGGACATGCATTTACTGGGGAATTGTATACTTGATATTTTCGACAATAGTATGCAGTTTTTAATTGTTATTTTCTAAAAATAAATTGAAGGAGTCCACTTCAATTTTTCTTTAACAGGTGAGAAAACCCACAGCTCTTGATAAAAAACTTTGGAAAGTAAGAGGTTACTTGGACCGCAGCCAAATGATGTATTGCACAGAGAGGACGCATTGCGTGGACTTAAATTACACAAATATATTCAAGATTTGTATGATTTTTAAATGAGGATGGATGATGAAGAGTCAAAGTTGGCTGAGGAAAACGAAAATATTTCAATTTTAACATATTCTATAAAAAGATTGATTGAACACAACAAAAAAACTGCGCCAACAGGAGCGTAAGCTCAGGCAGAGCCCATGTTAAAATATTTCTTCCCTCAGGCCACTCTTATCAACCAAATTTGGAAAGTGCATCATTGCCAGATGGGCAAATTTCAACTATTTCATACCATTTTACGGAGGACACATCATCGATAATGGGCCAAGTGCCATAAGATCGAAAATTAAGTTAGATATGGCATATTGTTTGGGTGAAGTGCGATCAAAGCTAGATTAGTGGGTATATCATCAGAAAAATAGCATTATAATGGAATATACCACAGTACTTAAGTGTCAGAAATAAAAAAATAAATTTCTGCCAATCAACTTTTGGGAACTTGGACCATTATTGATGATAGATTGACATAGCAACACTCATCCTCAAAACTCCCAAAACTGTGTAACTTAAACAGAACCTTCTGAGATTTGTTGACCTGAAAGTTGTTGCAGCTTGCACTTCTGTTGTTATAGTCTATCTATTCAATTACAATTAAAAATCAAGATTTTCACCAAACATCAGTGGTCTGAACTTGAAATTCTGAATATTACATATTTCCTACTTACACCTAGAAATTAAGACGAAAATACAATTTCCTAGTTTTAATGGCTAAGATGAGAGCACCGCTCTTCTTCCAGATAGAGAGCAACATCATAAAGGCAGTGTGGGTGGTCTATAAAATTCACGACAACGCTCATGGAATAGACGAAACGTCCTTTCCCTGATGACTTCTTCGACATTTACTTCAGTCTGAAGCAGTCTCAGCTGAAATGAAAAAAAATCCAGTATCAAATACAGCTAAAAAAAACTCACAGAAACAACACGAAATGTTGATTAAAGAGGTCCAAAAATAATTATAGATGGATGATGAAAAAAGAAGAAAATTCATGACAGCAAAAATTTATGGTACAAACCAAAAATTAGCAAGAAGTTTCCATGGTTGGGTAATTGGGTATCCTGGATGGAGGAATCACCTTATAATAAGGAAATGCGTTAAGATTGAAAAAATTCGGAGAAAATTATGACAGAGTGGCACACATGTGCTTATACCTTGTATATTGAGGCAAAAAAATTAGCTCTAGTCTTTAATCAATCAACAAAATATAATATTGGATGAGTTTTACTTAAAATGACTGATACTTCGATTTTTTTACCTTTAAAAAAAAAAAAAAAAACTCATTAAAATTCATGACAGAAACCAATAAATACCTTGGTTTGCTCTTTCTTCAGTCTTTTAATCAGGTTTGAGTCGTCAGGCTTTTGATCTTTCAGTTCCTTCAGTTCTTTCACTTTATCTGCTGTTATGTGAACACATCCTTTGATTTTACCCTCTCTCGTTTCGTAGTTTTTTGTGAGCTGAGGAAGAAAAACAAACAAAATGCCAAGTAAGTATAAGATAAAGTTGTCTTATATTTCTACAATTTCGTACCCTGAACAAGCCACATTATTTCACATGATTTTATAGAGCTTTTACTTAAAACCAAAATTTTTGAATTTTCAACATCAAACCCCCAAAATTCTGATTAGATTATACATTTTCAAGTGAATTTTATGCAAAAATGTTTGTAGACCTCTTGTCTGTGCTATAGTGTCAGTAACTTGTTTTTGAGTTCTTGGGAATCTACGTCCAGTTTTCCATGTGCGGTCACATGCAATAAACACCTACATGGCTAAACATATGTTAAAACTAACGCCATTTTACTTTTATTTCGTGTTTTGCCAAATGACAAAGGAAATTTTTTTGACAGCTGCCAAAAGAAACTAGCTTGATACTGCTCATTATTCTGTTTCCAAAAAGCAACCGCAAAATTGTTGAGCATTCATTTGTAAACTCGCAAGTAATACAAACAGAGTCAAATGACACCAACCATTAGCTTTAGGAAATATCTTTTCCAAATGGTCCGAAATAGTTTGCTTTGCAACGTCCCACAAGTAATTTGACCGCGTTTAACAGAAAGGAACCAAGCCACATCAGCTATTGCCAAAGCTGGACAATTTAATTTTTTACAAGAGAACGTCTGTGCGAATTCCTTTGAAAATTTTGAGAAATTTGTTTTGTACTGTAGAGAAAGTTCACTGAAATTTGCACAAAAATCCACACAACCGTTTTCATGTATAAAATGAAATTGCCTGATTATATTTGGCAATAGCTGATGTGGCTTGGTTCCTTTCTATTTAAAGCGGTCCAATTATTTCCAGTGCTCATATTAGGTGGAAACAATCATCCTGGCACCGAAGTCATTTCACTTCAAATCATGACTCTTGGCTCAACCTGCAAATTGAGAGGACTGTTAAAACCAGCCACAATATTTACAATGCGGATTAGTGAATTTTGAAATTTATGTATCCTTACTTATACTTACAGTTGAGAAAAGTTCTTTGCACATTTTTGTTGGATCTTTATCATTTCTGAAAGAAGCCACAGGAGTAGAATTGTTGAGAGCATAGACTATCTTATCGTCAACATCGCGTAATTTTTTTAATATGTCCTGTGAAGTAAACAAACTAATATTAATACAGAATTACACATCCAATTGACATTGGTATCTAATAAAACAGATTATTCCAGCTCCATTTTACACATTATCCTAAAATTGTGAAGAGGGAGCAGGAGGACTCACAAAACAAGAATTTTAGAAATACAGTTGTCAGACGGTGGCAACAAATCCAAAGGCTGAAAATAATAATTAAGAGGTAATAATAATGCTGAGAAAAATAAGATAGCGAACAAAGACTGATCTGACACATTTTTATTGAGAGGCTGAGCCAAAAATACCACTCTTGATGAGATAAAAGAACTTCTTTTTTTTTTGTTTACTTCTTAGTAAGATAGAAGAGCATGTTCAGCAACTCCCTCTGTTTAGCTTTGTCACTTATTTAACTATATTTTATTATATCACTTACGGTGACTTTTCACACCTTCAGTGATCATTTTGAGTTTTGCCCCTCTCTTAGACACTCCTCTGAGCAAAGCCAGGGCTGCAACCCTATAGGGTAGTCAAAAAGGATGAACTTCAAGGAACTAGAATTAAAATTATTTGAATGAAATTTTAACGCCGTTATAATTCTAGAGATTTACTTGAATGACCCATAAACAGCATGAGTAAAAAGAAACACGGAGGGCACAATGCTGCTTTCTAGTCTCTTTCTCTTTTACTCACTGACTCAAATGCCGGCCAGCCGACGGACGATGAGACAGTGATTGGAGCATGTACCACTGGATGTGCAGAAAGAACACTGCCCCTTCTTACTCATTCTTGCCTCAGGAGGAAAAGCTTCTCTTTGACAAATGAAGAGACAGAACGAAGAGGAAAAATCAAAATACCACTTGCGGATGGAGTGAAAAAACTTCTCGTGTTCCTAATTTCCCTCATGAACTTATCTACTCCACCGTGTGCATCATCAGAGACATGACAAAAGCCAATACAGCGATTCTACTGACCTGAAACTCTAAAAAGTCCTCGCATTCCATTGGGAAGAAGTAACAGTTAAGATTTCGTCAAATAATACAAGGAGTGGACACAAACTATGATGTTAGGAGCATTAAATCACGTTTTCCTACCGGGATAAAATTGTAGATAAGGAAATTGAACCTAACCTCAAAGTTTTCTTGTTGATCATAACAAAGCAGTGTTGCCTATGTTGACAATCGAACAATTTATCTTTAATCATGTATTTTTCCATTATTCCATTTACTGCACGCTCGTTTTGTTTTGGTGTAGCTTTTTTTGTTTTATTCCGTGAAATCTGTCCTGAAAACCCTAATCTTAGTGCGATTAAAAGTTACTCCTTCTAATTCGTTACTGAGACCAATATCACACAGGTCCTAAAACAAAAGAACAACAGAAATTGATCAAGTGCGAAAGTGATTTTAGGTACAGATTTTTAGTGTAATCATTGTCTACCAGGTAAATTAAACTTCAGGTATTATTTGCCCTCATTATTTCAATGCGTGAGTCTTGCATCAACTGTCAGCTCAACTAGTCTTTCTTGTATCATGACTACATTGCTTATCAACTGAAGGTACCCATTCTCGCAGCCATGCCTCCGAATATGAAACGCAAGTCATCCGGTCTCTAATCTCACCCAACGTCACTTAGATTCAGCATTGCCTTCCTTTACAAGTTATAAATGGGCAGGATATAGTGTGTTAATTCATCAGCCCCTCCTAATTCTGAAAGGTCATGATGCCAATCTAAGCCATTTATTTCTCCAACAATCAGATTTCTGTGAAACTGTTCAGTACTGAATATGGTGATCGCTGAACTTCCTTGCAGTTTTTTTGCTAGAAGTACCAGCAACTTCATCACCAAAGACTGCTGCACCATCACATCAGTCTGTGAGACAACTGATATCTGTCCATTCTATGATAGGAATAACTATTTAGTTCAATTTCAATATAAGATTCCATACGATTTTGATACCACTACCCTTGACTAGAGCTCGCGCATCGCATGTTGATACAAACGTCAATCTCCGATTAGTTATGAATTTTCACCACTCAACAGGTTAATATATGTAGTCAGGTGGCACCACTGGTGAATGGTGACATAAAAAATACCTTGACGTTTGTCTCAACATACGTATTTGTTGTTAACTGTATTTGACAACATATTTTGTAAGTTCGTCATCCTCACAATTAATTTTTTACCTACAGCTTCTGACAGACTGGTAACATTTGAGGTGTCAAATGATAACTTATATTCAGTACCCAAAGCAGTCTTGATTTTTACCTAAAATAGCCTTTTTCTTTATTTTTCAGTTTTCTCTTGAATATAAAGACAACCAGTGCCCAAATTTTCTAAAATTGTGTACCTACCATGGCAGACACCTCCTCTTGTCCATTGATGACCAACACTGTTCCCACGGTTGTCTCAAATGAAGGTGGGTTTTTGGTATTTCAGGGTCCTTATATAATGAAAGAGGTGGTAGGTAAACCCTTCATGCAAATCGTCTTTCAGTCAAATTTTCTAGAAATTATTTATCGACGGCGTAAGTCCGCAATCACATATCTCGTTTGCGGTGTCTGAAAATCTCAATCTCTGTTATTTTTTTAAAGGAAAACAAATTGACATCATTCCTTGAACTTCTTGCAGAATTTTCTTCGCACAGAGAAAGAAAATTACGGCAGTTTTAAAGAATTGCCGATGAGTGGTTTTCTGTTTAAGAAATGAAGTAACACAGAAAGTCTGTGAAGTCGCAATCCGAGTTATGTGATTGCTGCCTTACACCGTCGATATGTTACTCTCCATATCACTCCAAATGAAACTCTTGATGAGTGCTTGGAGATTTCATGTACTGTTTTCAAAATATTTAAGCTTTGAATATCAGCAAAAATTTGTTTATGCACTTCTAAGTATGGTAGGAGCAAACAACCAAGAGACGCAGGTAGAAAGGAAAATAATTTTTTTAATGATGTGAACAGTAATAAGTCATGAGTGAGAAATGAGTGGATGGTAAAACTCTGAAAACCCTCCGGAGAGGCAGGTCAAATTTTTACTTTCTCGCTCCCATAGTTTGCCATTGGAATGTGCATCGCACCAGTTGAATGAGACGTCCCATGTAATAAGTAGAGGTTATAACAAGCCAAGGATTGCCTCAATAGACCGTTATTCACACTGAACTCTGGTAAAAGGAGGCAACCGCGCGATGCTGGATGATTATTTTTATTAAAACTAATTCAATGCATAATTCTCAAGTAAAAATCATTAAAGTAAAATAAAATAAATCCTTTGAAAGGACCAATTGAGCCTTTGAAAGCCTCCAAAAAAGTTCATCACTCAGGTTTTTCACGAAATGTATTTTGCAATGAAGTATTACTTAGTACGTTTGAAATGAATTTGTTCCTAGTTTTAATTTTTCCCCCATATTTTTCAGAAAATACAGTGTCCATGGTAGAAGAAGCCAGTAACAGCAGCATGACACCTGCAATTAGGAGTCTTCTCTCCACCGCACATTCAAGCGCGGAAGTTTTGGTCGGTCTCCTGCAGATTTTAATGGCAGAATGTGGATTGTATCTTGCTGACAAAATGGGACGTGAGATACCTGAAGTAGGAAACAATTTCAGAAGTGAACAGTTCTTTGATTCAAGAATTGTAAAAGAATTGAAATTGGATTTTTCCAAAAATAGTGATGGAGTTTACACCAACAAGTACCTATTACGAGGCTTCTCAGAGCCATCAATAGAGCTTTTATGTGATCCTCACAACCACAATGTTCTTGTAACTGCTATAATCTCCTCTTTTAAATGTGTGTTTTCAGTAGTCCTCAAAACACAAAATTATGTTATCGAGACTTCAAAGAATAATTACATACTTTTGAATATGAAGTCACTCTCTATCAGATTTAAAAATGCCATCGCTGTTCCTGTTCGTGCCTCAATTTTAAACAAACATGGCTTTCCAAATCCTAGTCTGGAAGGTTTACCTGATGAACTCCTACACCACATTTGGAAAAAAATACCTCAGCCGGAGTTTTTACCCCCTTTGCCAGGAGTTTCTGCAGTTTTCACTGCAGATTGAGAGAATCTCACTAGACTCTGACAGCAAAAATCGATTAGAGAGGGATTCTTTACTTACATTTCAAGTCTTCCTTTTCATTGTTGGTACCCGTAGGAGAGAATTTCGCCCTGTGGCACTAGATGAAACTTGAAGAGCATCAATATCCATTTAAAGTGATTGGTATCTTCCAACAAACACCTAACATTAATTTTATGTATTAGATCACAACAGAACATGAAAAATTGGTCTTAAGAAATTATTGTCTTGCAAATTGGCCTTACACATCATCAGTTTAAAATTAATGAAATAATCATTGATTACTATGTTTAAGCTCCTTCTTGGATTTGTTTCTCAATTTATACATTTTAATCTACCCTCTCTACCAATATCAATGCAAGTTCTTGAGCCAAAAATTCCACTTTTCTTATCTTATTTTTGTAAGGGAGCAAACTTTTAATTATTGTAAGTTGAGAATTGATACATTTTTTAGAATAATAATTTTCTTTTAAATAAACAGGTACATTCAAAGTCCCCCCCCCTCCTCCATATCTTGTATTTGAACTGTTAAAGCTACCATCAAAGCAAATTTTACATTTTAATTCAATGTAAAAAACTTGCGGGAAAGTTTTTATCAAGATTGGCAGGATCAGCATTTGCTCCAAGATGAAATATTTAGAAGTAAACTGTGAAACATCCTTAGTTAGTGCTGAATATTAAAGCACACAAAAGTTTGCTCACTTAATCCTCTGTGAAGTTCACCTTTATGTCAGAAACCCAGCTCTGTTCAAGCAATAAACATACTATACTCTGTAATCCAATTCCCATCTGTTTGTAGCCAGTTTTATCAGAAGCAATGACACTAATTAATACAAAATTGATTACTCATAATCTTTCGACAAAGGACCGAAAAGTGTCAATTTCTTTTTTGTCAGCTTCTGATTCTGTTTTTATGTTAATTTATATTTATATTTTTTCCAACGTTGTCTTCCATGTGATGCGTCCTTCTCTTTTCACTTGTACAAGGAGTGAGCTTGAAAAAATTCATTTTAAATCAAGGTGTTTTTTTACCAATGGATTGTGAGCATGAGTCATCGCATCATCAATCATTAAGGGTTACAGTAGTAACGTGTGAGCCTGCCTCTATACAGAAGAAAAAAATTGTAGCTGGAAAATATCTCCTCTGTAAGTTCTTTCTTAAACTTTTAATGATGTTTGTTAATTTAGCAATTCTCATTACCTCTAGTTTCTCCTCTACGCTCTACCCTTTTTTCCTCCAAACAATCTCAAAATTTTCATGACTTTCTCAGTATTCATCACGATATATTGTTTCAACCTCATTATGAGAGATAGATGTTTTGCACATGTAGCCTGATTTTCTTTTCTAAAATAAATGGATACATGAGGGGGAATTAATAGTAAAAAAGAAATCATCTTTTTCTGTTTCTGTTCAAAAAGACTGTATGTGCATGTTCAGAGCATACTTGAGTAAAACGATTTTTCTCTTGGTTTACGTAGAAGTTAAAAGTTGACAAAAATCTGAATGGAAAGCGTATTGACATTAGAAGAACGAATATTTTAAAACACTTCTTAAGAATTTTGACAGCTTTCTCTCGTTGCATTTTTCTTGCAGCCCTCCAAAATAGGAAATCACGTCACCAACCCTTTCAGATTTTTTTGAACTCATCTCTTTTTTTGGTTATTTCTATAGTCAAAGTGCAAAACCAACTACCTCAAATTCATTGCTGTGTTTCAAAGTTTCCATTCCTATATTATTCTTTCCAATAGAAACAAGCCGACTTCATAGCTTGAAACTTACACAGAGGATTCTGCCAACGGGGGGAAAACTCAAGGAAGCTTTTAAGAAGTCACAATGACTAGTTTTCCAAAGAATAAATAAAGTATGACGAGAAGTCTGCAACATGATAAATGGTGGTACAAGGTTTTGCTCTTTGGGCGTCGATTAAATGTCCATAAATCATGGAAGTGATGTGAGTTTTAGAAGATCGGAGTTCCTACAAGATTTGCAACCTGTTCTCTCTTACAGCATATTTTTAAGTCGTGCCAAAGGAGTTAAGTTAAAAAAATCTCTTGATTTATTGTGTTCTATTTTCCTTTTTTTTCAGATTTAGAATGTCATGGAACAAATTTTATGTGACTCAAGCATCTCTGATGGTTTTAAGCAGCACTGCAAACACTTTAAGTACAAAGTAAGATGTTTTTAATTTAACTTTGATTTTTTACTGAATCATTGCTCTCTATTTTTTATGTGATGTCACCAGAGCCAGATGTTTTGGATGAAATAGCATGAGGTTTACTTTCTTTAGAGAGCAAACTTTGCTCAGGCATCATTGATTCATTCGCTGAGCATCTTATGATGAAAGTCGTCAGCATTTTCTTTTTTACTCTATAATTTTAAAATCCATGGATTCCTTGCATGAAAGAGGTAGTCAACCAAAATCATCGTAGTCAGAATGACATCAAACTGGTCTTGCCTCTTCCACAAGAAATACATGGGAGAAATGTTAATAAAATAATTGTTCATCGGTTCCTTGCAGGTGGGCTGACCATTTACATGCTGAAAGCTCAGATGGTCAGGTGAGATCATTCTCACACCCATTTGTTCAAGCATGTTCCTCCTTCTTTGGAGAATTTTTGTGCCTGTTACTGTACAAAGCATCGCACTCATGTAGACATCTTCAGGTGAGATTTTCCAAAAGCTTCAGTTGAAAGTTAAATATATCAGTCAATGTTTAGTCGCCGTCTACTTTCAACCTTTTTTCAAAATGCCCCAAAAATAAAGGAAAATTAAAAAAGCAAATTCCAAGATCCTGGATGAGTAAGGAAGGATTTTTTTTAAAAAAAAAAAAAATATAACAATAGCAGTTGAACACCAACGTGCTGTTCATTATACTTGGATTCACATAATACAAGTGTTTTTGATAATACTAACCTAATGTCAATGAATATGAGGGGAGAGGAAGTAATTTTTACCGTGACAGGGACGGCAAAGTGCAGTTTGCTCATAGACAGCGGAAAGTTAAGTGAGACTCCACAGCTCATGTAATTTTACTTTGTATCCCATGACTGCAAAATTCAAAGAGGCTGGTTTCTTGTACACCTTTTCAAGGACTTAAGACAATGAGTCTCGTGTTCCCTCACGGTGAGATTGGAACCTAGAACCATGCGAAGAGTGCTGGTCTCAAGTCATATTTTAATTTTATTTTTAATAACTCGGTAGATAATCTAATCAAGTTAGACATTCATAAAATTAACTGTATTTAACTCTGGCCAAGCCTTGGAGTTCTTGTTTTATTTCGAACTTAATTCCTCTCTTTTTTGCAGGCCAAAAAGAAAATTGGAGAAGAAGAAGAAAACGTTGTAAATTTCAACCCTCTCATATTCATAATTCCTGCCGTTTGTGACATGGTTGGCACCTCTTTGATGTATATTGGTTTGAATTTAACGTATGCTTCTAGTTATCAAATGTTGCGTGGTTAGTATCATTATTTTTTGTGTTGGTTCTGCACCTGCCACACTTGCTTGTTAAAAATTGATACTAATTCAAATCAGTATTTGATACAAACTAAATTTTGAGTTGAGCATCCAGAGCATTATTGGCATGCTCCCATAATGTTTCATGTTTTCATTTAAAAGGTGTCTTTTTGCAAATCTGCCAACTTCTGGAGCAAGCCAGTCTTAGCAAAACTAGGGGGTAGGTCCTCTGGCTGCTACGTAGCTTAATCGCCCTCGAAGGCCTACTTTCTGGGTTGCCGTGTGATAATCTAACTAGAACAGGCTCATACAGGCTATCGATAGCGTCATAATTCATGAAATTCAACTTAGTTGATTCTCAGAACAAACTGTGACAGACATTGAACTTTTACATTGTTGAAATGAGAGAATTCTCAATTTTATAATGCAATAAACAAAAATTTGGATTATAATTTGGAAATCGGGACAATAATTAAGTTCATCTGTCGATAGCAGCAAAAATCGGGGAAATCAGCACAGTAGAACAAACTGTGACAAAAAATGAAAATTTAGAAGGTCAGAGAGCCTACAGTAATGACCATATCTGCTTTAATAATAAACATTAGTAAATTACAGTCACAATGTGAAAGTAAATTCAGGTTTGTTTTAAAACTGTTTTCCAATTTTTGCTTTCAAACACAGGTGCGGTAATTGTTTTTGTTGCACTCCTCTCTGTGGCTTTCCTTGGCCGAGAAGTGAGTAAGAAAGAATGGCTCGGAATCTTTTTCACAATCATAGGCTTGACAACAGTTGGGCTTTCAAATCACTTTCTGAAATCTTCTTCTATGGTCGATCTTGACAGCAACAGTATCATCACAGGTAAAAAACTAATAATCCATCATACTCTAAGTAAATGTATCGTCTTCGAATATTCAGTCATTGTACAGAATTTTACTTCTGATTTTCCCTCTTAATTCTTCCAAATTTGAAGCTGTCTAATGGACACTAGACAAGGTTCGAATTGAAGCGTTACGATGCATGATCCCCAAGTAAAATTTTATGTAGAACACAATTTGGACAGCAATATGCCAAAATAAACTCCTAACTGAGATATATAATGGTTTTTGATGCGTGAATTCAAATCTGTCGCTTTTAAAAAACGAAACTGCGAGTGAGTCGAATTGCGTACTAAACTTTGCTGTGATAATCTCCTTGGCATGAAAATAAGATAATTTCAAACTTGGTCCTCCGGCTCAGTTGTTGCACATTGTTTAAACTTTAAATAACACAGTGTAGGGAAGAAACACTGCTTAATTGAAGAGCTCACTGTGACCAACATAGTGCAAGATTTGACTCACAAAGAGAACCGTTTTTCTTGTGAGCAGGCAATTCAAATTTCCTGTTGCCAGTCTAAACTAAAAACTTTAATGTCCTACTTATGCGTTACTTTAAGAAATTTTTATTACCCGAATCAAATTCTACAAGAAATTTTGTGTAGGAAATATGCATTATCATGCTTTGGTGGAACTCAAACAAATATTTTACTCCTCTTATAATTATTGCCCTAAAAATGTCACCCTCAGGAGAATGAAGTAGAATGCACTACTTTTCAATGACCATCTAACTTTGAATTTCAAAAATTTATTTCTATTGCAGGCTTTTGTTTGCCTGAATTCGTCACTCATCATTCACTAATTTTTGTTTGGTAATAGGAGATCTTCTGATCGTACTAGCAACGATGATCCGCGCCATAGAAATGGTATATGAGGAAAAATTTTGTGTCAGTAAAGATATTCCTCCTCTTCAAGCTGTTGGGTGGGAAGGTAAGATTATTTAGACATCAGTTTGAAGGGCTTTTTCTTGATACCTGGGAATGCAATCAAGGAGCTATAATATTTTCAATTATAATCATTGCTGAAGACTGCTACAGATTCAAGATAATAGATCAAAGATTGCTCTAAAAGGGATATTTTTAACAGTTTAAGGGAGAAAAATGCAACAAGGAAAAACCCGGAGTTCTCTTGCTTTGTAATCAAATGACCTTTTACATTAGGCACTTATCACCACAAAAGGAATCTTTCAGCATTACTGGAAAAAGTAGCAGCACCAACTGAAGAGCCAATGGCTCACTAGGCAAGGTGCAAATTTAATCATTATGATAAAGGCATATTTCTCATCAAAATTTCTTGCAGAACTCGATTTGTGCAACAGAAATTATTGAAAGTTACATTAAAGGCTTTACCGTTTTTCATTGCCTAAATTCAAACTCTCACTCATTAGGAAACCATGACCTTCGTGAGTTTAATGACAACCGTTACAGTGACAGTTTCTGTGGTATGGAAAAATAGCAAACTCGATCTCAACACTTTGGCTCAGCTGTTGCACATGTTTACATTTTGATAACCTAGAGTGCAAAGGAAGACTACTCGATTAAGAGGCCTACCAAAACTGAATAGTTTGCAATCTAATTTACATGCCTGCTGGTTTTTCTTGTGAGCTAGAAATTAAAATTTTTCGTAACCATGACTAAATATAAACTTTAATACCTTGATTAAGAGTTGATTTCAGTAATTTTCGTTGTGGGATTTGTCTTCTATTTGAAACTTGAAATCAAATAATCTACATATGATAGAATGTTTAAATTTGTACCTAATCCAGATGTCGAATTAATTTTATCAACCATGAAGAGAGTTCTTATGCTCTCCGCCATATTCTACATCCTTCTATTTTCCTGAAAGTTTAGCTCATCTTATATGTTTTAATTGGTAAGCAAATTATTTTTCAATATTTAATTAATCATTCTTGACTTATAGGTGCGTTTGGCTTTATGATTCTGAGTACATTGATGTTTCCCATGTCATATGTAAAAGTCGGTCCTCCGTTTTCAAATAATGCGCAAAGTGTTCTGGAAGATTTTCCAGATGCAATCGTGCAAATGAGGAATAATAAGTTGATCGTTTTAGCTCTAGCAGGTAAGAGCTTTTTTGTAGGAATTATGTCGTAAGGAAGATCCCTCACCGAACTAACATAGATTTTTAAATTTCATTTAATCATTCCAAAATTGTCTTAAGTTTAATAAGGTGGCGCAGGAAAAACTCTCTCCCTATTTTACCAATTGATCAAATTTCAAACTTAACCAACCATTGAAAAATTGAACGAATTTCCTGTCAACTTACTTACCTATCTGAATGTTGCTTAATTTTAACAATTTGTTCAAGACAGCTACAGATAGCTTTGATCTCAAATTTTCAATATATAATTAGTCATAGTTTTTTTCCAAGGAAGTCATCTTGTGTTTTTTACAGGACCTAACTACTACTTGTGTTTAAAGGAAAGTGTGTTTTCCAATCTTAAAAACCCTTTAAAAATCAAGAAAGAAGAATGAAATGACCCAAAAATCAGGGAAATTTGTATCCCATTGCATAGCTTCAAGTTGGTATCCTAGTCAGATCGAAAGAACATCAACTTCTGAATCATCATTCCATGATATCTCAGAATCGCATTGGCAAAACCTGAAAAAGTTAGGGAGTTTCGTTTGTAAATTTTGCTGACCACCCTTAGCAATGCGATTCCTTGCTACTATAATTTATTCAAAGAAGATTAAGTGTTTTTAATTCTTGACTTTTATTTTGATCGATTGAATTTGACATGTGAAGAATTATTTTTTATTAACTTACCTGAAAACTCCATGAAACAATTTAGTAAGATTTCTGTCAAAAAAGCGAAGTTAGTGTTGAAATGTTAAAACATCACAATTAACATCCTTGTTCCTCTAGTTTCATCACTGATTTGGCTACATGTAAATGTATTTGAACTTCTTTGGAGAGTAAGTAGCAAATACTTACTAATTTTTCAGGAGGACGTTCCGTTGTGCCTCAAAGTATTCATGGTTTCAGACAGTAAAGTACGTACTTTTCATAGGGATGTTTTCCCTTTTATTTCTTCCAGGTGCTGTCGTAAGTACATCTCTAAGTAATTATGCAGGCGTTTACATAATGAAGCATTTGACATCCACCACAAGAATGGTCTTGGAAACCATACCGACCCTCTTTGTCTGGCTCTCAAGTATTTGTTTGGGTTGGCAAACATTTCACCCTCTCCAGGTTGGTAAATCAACATGTAGTTCTTGATTATATATCAATTCAAAATGGGGCAATGGCAAAGAATTTATGCAGGGTCATGTTGTAGCACATGTAGTTTTACACGTGTAAAATGTTGTGAAAAAAATCATAAAGTTCAGATAATCATATCCGAGGGAGAAAAAGCTGATCAAAAGACAACAGTCGAGCTAATGCTGCAAGGCGCTGCTTGAAAATGGGTTTCTGCCAGTCAGCAAACGCTGTCTCCCCTGCCTGACTGTCATGAGCGCCTGCCAAAAATATAGTTTTGAAAGGGTCCTATCTTGGGCATTTTCATAACAGGGTTTCTTTCCCATTCAGGGTTAAAAAAAATGTGAAAAATTTCCAAAAGCTTAGTTCACTCGGTACTTTCAGAAAATAAATTTTAAAAAATTGGTGTCACTGACCCTGACCCATTCCTCATACTTCAGATTGATTGTGAGTAAATTTTCCTTTTATGAACTGAAATCAGTTTAATAAGTCATAATGAATCCAGCATTTCTGTTTTTCAGATCTTGGGTTTTGCCCTGGTCGTTTTGGGTATGTGTCTGTACAACAATATCACGTCAGGATTTTGTCAGTTCAGGTGTTCATGATATCAAACAAATGTAAAAACATAATTTGAAGACCCGTCAAGCATCAACATCCAACAAGAAGCCTGTTTCGTGGCTATGTTGGCCAAAATGTGCCTTCGCTGCTGACAAATTTTAGTTCCTCCTCTTTTATCTTTTTTAATGTAACCTTAAGAAAATAAATCAATAAAAATTGTTGAATAGTTGTTGGTTTCTTCTAAAACCACACATTTAATATTCAAGTAGGCAAATATTTGATGAAAATAAAATTTATTTTACATTTTTTATCAATTTTTCACAAAATATAACACAATGATAGTGGTTGAATCAAAAACATTATAATTTAATGGATATTTCAGTCCAAGAAAAATAGAGAATGGAACTTCATCTAAAATTGGGCAGTTTTTTTAAAAAATTTATAGAAGAAAAAAAGTTAGGAAACTACTGTAAAAACAAATCAAGTGGCCCTCAAAGCTACAGATTATTCAACAAGTTAAAGGATAGAAAAACAGAGAGGATATCTCAAATCGTATAAAGAGAGAAATACTGTCTACCTTTAGCGTTGGTCAACCAACTTATCCATGTCAAATAAAAGATGCATGAATCATCTTATTGTACATGATTTCACCTGATATTTTTCATTACAAGATCAGAAACAACCAAAATATTAAAAACAAATACACGATTAATCAACTCGTAAAAAGAAACAAAATAAATAAGCTCATGTAGACATATCAGGTTGTGACGTATAACTGCCTGTTGTTAATTTTTATAAGTTATTATCTTTTTACGCTACCTTGATTTGCTTATCTTTTGCTAGACGTAAAATAAAACAATAAAAATGCAAGATTCATTTAGTTATACTGAACATTTTCTAAAATTTCAACAAACAGAGAAAGTATGCATTCCTCATATAAAATCACAGTTGTTAGAATTTTTTTAAAATTCATGATGAGATATTATTAAAATGCTTAAAAATTATCAAGAGTCGGATAACAAATTAAAATAATTCCAGTCACAGAGCAGAAACGAGGGAAGCTTAAGGGAGCTAAAGACATTTCACAGAAAAATATGGGCGTTATTGAACAAAAGCAACTGCACTCGCAGAGGAGGGATAACGAAGAACTTCAAATGCCACTATCAATATCATGTACACATAATGAAAGAAATAACAGCTGAAAAAGACATCTCGAGTCGTAAAACGAAAAGGAAAAAAACATTTCATTGATTTCTTTTTCTTTTCATGCATAATCTTTAAACTTGTATACTTCACGCTATGCGATGCAAAACAAGTATGATTATTTCTAACAATGGGTTCAATGTTTAAGAGAACCAGAAAATGTAAAATGCGTGATAAGAAAATTGTCACTCTCCCAGCTGTCCGGGAGTTGGGCATTTCTTTCTCATTCTTGATCACAATTCAAAATGATTGGAGAACTTGGGTGAATATTAACATACTTCTTTGCATGATTTTTTTAAATTGATTGATTGTTTGCGAGGCCTTTCTTTTGTTTTTGAAATGAAAACTTTTTCATAAATTTTAGGAACTTTTTCCTTGGTTGGTTTTTTAATCTTCAGAAAAGTAGCATTTTAGAAGCTGCCGGCCTCCTTTCTCAGGTATTTTAAGAGAAGCAGCCTTCAAAAGGAGCCATGTCTAACGAAAAAAAGAAAAAAATTAGATAGGTTTTTTGAAATGTATGACAAAATTATTTTAAATATACCAGGGAACTCTCTTTCTTTAAACTTACTTTGAAGGTTTCCCTTTTTAAAATACCACCTTTTTGATGAATTGCGAGGAAAGTCTCAGTTAAAAGTCAGAATACTTAAAATACAGCTGTAAAGCTCAACAACTAATGTTCAAAGGGTTTAATTCCACAAAAATTAGATTGAATATTTTACCATAGACCACCAAGCACATGCAAGACCCTGTAAGATTTCCATTTGATGAAAAAGATTTCTCAGTCTCAAAAATGAATCCTCTATATTTATCAGAGCTAAGATTACAAGACTCAAAGTTTACTTATGTTCTGAGATATGTAATTCTCTAACCTTTAACAAAGTATACATTGATTTTGACAGGTAATAAGATGAGCATTTAGAACACAAAAAAGAAAAATCGAACACCTGGTTGTCCCATTAGCCTTGTCCCTCCTCCATCTGCTCTTCGAAGGTGTTATGGGCAGTGTAACTGTTCAAATCGAAGCTGTAAGATCGTTCGTTCTTTTCGAAGACTAGTTAGTTCATTCTGAAGCGACTGGCACAAAGATTTTAACATGGCATTATGTTCGATGTGATCATCCAAACTGGAAGCAAAATGAACACAAAATAATTAGATGAAAATGACTGCTCTTAGTTCTTCCAGAGCTTAATGCATTATCCAAAGGTTGAGGTTCAGAACTTACGATTTAAGTACTTTCTTTCAAATTACTTATACTCATTGTACATGACCTAGAAATAAGATTGGAAATAGATGAAATTATCTTGCGGCCACTTTTCTTACTTTAGATTTTTTTTCCTAGCTGATCATCAGCGTTTGTTTTGGAATTTGGAGGTTTCTTAGGAAAAAAATTTGTAAATTAACACAGACAAAGCATCAAAACTGTCTAACATCTCAATCTAGTTGATAGCTTTAGAGTTATGAAAATGCAAATCCAGAAAAAAAAGAACCTTTGTGTTTACTAATAAGTACATTTGCTCAATTACTAAGGAATCCTATTAACAGTTATGTATGATTGTAGGATGTTTTTAACTGATAACCTCAAACCATGCAATAACTTTCAATGTCCGGTTTTTTAACGTTGACTATACAATTTAATTGAGGATTCAAATCTATGTTAATGCCTTATTTTTCTCAATACGTTGGGATCACATTGTTCGGCATCACACAATTATCCTCTGAGATGGCAATGCTAGTAGAAAGGACACAATTAAAGAACATGTCGAACTTGTGATCTACTCACCTACAATTTGGAGACAAAGGTTTAACAATGACTGATGATGCCGGCTTGTCATTATTTTCAACAACTGAAACAGACATGAAAAATATTAAGTAATTAACATAAAACACAAAAATATTTGAGCTGCTATATTTATTGGTAGAGAGGTGTTGTAACCAAACACCTACTTAATGAATAAAAAAGGACACTTCCTTTCAAGTAAAAAAGCCAATAAAGACTGCCTTAATAACCTTGAGAAGAGGCTTCTTTAGAGTTTAGCGATTAAAAAACTTAAAATTCAGTTGGACTGCATTTCGCAATAAGGAACTGTTTTTGAATTAACAGAAAAAGCACATATTTGCAAGGGGAAACTAAAGGTACAAAAGCGTTTCTGAAAGGAGCCCGAAATAGTAGTTACTCATTGCAAAACTTAGTTCAGTTGTGTCGTCAAAACCTTTCCCAAACGATTGAAATAGGTTGAGGTTTTTTTGAGAATTGAAAATTCAGTTGGCATAAAATGAGAGAAATGTTTTAACCAAGTTTAAATTCATTCACCTGGCTTTTTATAAACTTTGAAAGCTCCACCTCCTGGTTGTTGATATTCACTGATTTCTTTGGAGAGTTGCGTAAAATCAGCAAATTCCTCCCCTTCACTCTTTTGACCAGCTAATTTCTTTGGTGAAACCTGTGAAAAAGAGGAAGAATACAAACCTAAGTGAAGTATAACATATTTTACTTTCATTAATTGTTGACAGGTAAGGTCGGATTTTCAATTGCTCTCCACTAAACAAGGCATTGCAAGAAAATTAGGAACATTTTGTGAAAATGAAGTACGCAGAGGCCAGCAGGTATTTAGAGTTAAAGTGGACTTGGGAAAATTATATAAATGGGGACAGTTAATGAACATTAAGGACATAAAAGCTGGCAGGTAAGTATTTAAGAAGAAAAAAGACGCACAAAAATTAAGAATCGAGGTGTCAGTAGACAATAGACTTCTAAAAAGAATTGAGCGATGGCAAGTCAGCATATTTCTATACATCAAATGTACAGTATAGAACTATTACATTCATCTGCGGTCAATAGAAATAAGTATACAAAAATTTAAATCCTCTTTCCTGAATTTTGTGACTCTTGATCATTGAATCATTAGAGAAGAAGACCAAGAATGATTGACTTAAATCGGGAGAAGGCAGCTGTTTCGCCTGAGGACCTTCCTGCCTCGTCTATCTCCCTGTATTATACGGATACCCTTTGCCTGCAGGACTCATAATATTAAATAAAAACTCACCACACTTGGGGAAACTCTTGGGGGCACGATTGGAGGTCCATTATTTCCATATTTTGCCAGTCTATTGAGATCAAGAGATGAACTTCTAGTGTGGGTCCTGGGACGAGGTGGTGGAGGAGGAGGTGGATCTTTTTTTGGAATACTTGAATTCACGGTGGCTGGTAAGCTAAGGGGACCAAAACTGTAGAAGAAAAATGAATTCATATTAAAAAGTGTGAAAAGTGTGAATAAAAAGAAAGAAACTCAGACAAACTAAGCAAGATTAATGCCTACTGCAACAGGCTGAAAGACTATATATGAATCAAATGCCTCGGAAGAGTTTAAGTGCTTTCATGACTTATTTTCCTGAATCTGTTGGCTCAACTCTGTCTCATGGCATATCGATGGAAAAAGTCAGTAATAACAATAGTCAGGGAGATGAGGTACTCATTTCCCAGCTTAAACAATTAGCCAACGATTTAATATTATGATTGAAAGAAAATTTTGAATGAAGCTCATGACAATGACAAATTAAATCGCTTCAATATCACTGATAAAAATGCAAAACCACAAATCTCCATCATGATATTACAAAATTTAAGCTCCTTCTTTATTTAATGAAAGAGAAACAAGCCAATTCTTTAACTTGAAATTTACACAGAATATTCTAGTTTCAGAGTAAAATGAGGAAGTTTCCAAGAAATTACTTTGAATAGTTTATCAAAGAAAAAATAAAGTATGACAGGAAGTCTGCAATGTGGCAAATGGAGATACATGGTTTCTCACTTTGGCTATTGATACACTTCCAAAACATCTCGTAGTGCATGTAACCTTTTGGAGTGATCACTTCAGTTTGTCGTGCGATGGAAAATTACCTTGGATCCTCTGTTTGAGGTGGTGGTGGGAGAGCACCTCGCCGTGGAGCTGAAACAAACGAAATCCAAAAGACATTAATTTGCTAATATCAAAGGTGGTAAAATAATGCTGGGTCTACACTATTCTGCGAGGAAAACAAGGCCAAAACGTTCAAAAATTGTTGAACTTTTTGGTCTTGTTTTCCCTGCAAAATAGTGTGGACTCAGCACTATTCTACCACCTTGTTACATACAGTTCCGACAACGTTTCTCAGTATTTCTTTCTTGTTATTACTCTGGTAGAATTGGTTGTTAAGAAATATTTAAAATTTGTTTTAAAGAGAACACTCTTGAAAAAGCTGTTCACATATCCGAGTTTGGAAATTCTTTTTGGCATATTTCATGTGAAAATACCTAGCAGAATTTTAACAAATTTGTTGTCACTTTATTTTTTGGAAATTTAACAAAAATACATAAAATGTAGGTTTTTTGAGTTGCATATCTTCCATTTTAATTGGTATCTGGCGTCAATATGAATGATTTATAGAATGTAACAAAATTTTCAAGCCCATTTTTCTTCATTTTTTAAAGATCTCAGCCGATAGAACGCGCTTTTTGATTTCAACCTGCCTCTTCGTATACTAGTGACAATACGTTTAAATGCCGCACCAGTTCAACAAAAAGATAGTAAAGGGGTCTGACACATGTAGAATAAATTAATCTGTGATACCTTTATTTAATACTTCTGATGTCAAAGTACAGAGGACGATAATCGTTTTTCTATAATTTATGCTTTTAGCAATATTGTAGTTTTCTCAAAATTGATGTTGAAATTTTGGTGAGCGAGTTTTTTCATCTCAACGGTACTAATCCTCTTTGTGGAACTTAAAAACGTGCCTACATGGAATACAGCTGAGTGATTCTCTAATGCAAATGTATCAGAGCTTTCCTGCCTGATTTTTTTTTTTTATTTTTCCAATACAAATTTCACGAAGTTTACTTCAGAAAGAACAAAGAGGGTTTCCAAACTCGTAATTTTTAATAAAGTTTTTAAGATGAAAAAAAGGTAAAGGAAAATATTCATCAACTTACCAGCATTTTTTTTTGGCTGTGGCCTCTGGATGGGTCTTATTGCACTGTTATCTCCAGAGGAAGGCCAAGTTTCCTCTTTTGCGCCTACTTCAGGAGTAACTCTGACAGGTACTGGATGTAAAATCTTGGGATCCTAAAAGAAATGACAAATGAGTAAAAAATTATTCAGACTCCACGTTTAGTTATTAAATCAATGCACAAGGTAAATAGGTATTAAACACAACAGGAACTTGAGGTTCTGTGAGCCAGCTTACCTCCTGAATTACTGCATTAATAACGATCAAAGGATGACATTGCAAGACATATAAATAAAAAAGAGTGAAAGGCCTTCACATATAACATCTCACGCCTCATGATATAGTCAATTCATTGGTATCCACTTCTCTAAATAATCATATTTCTTTATTTTCAATCCATCAATAATGCAACTAAAAAAACAAGTAATCTAGTTAGTGACTGCACTTTCCAGGTATATTTAATTTTTTTTGAAAGACGCACGATGAGCAACAATGAGCCACTAGACAAAGTGCAAATTGAAGCATTCTGATAAACGCTCCTCTTCCAAATTTCTTATAGAACACATTTACACAGCAAAAATTACTAAAATTAACTCATGAGCAAGATATCAACGTTCTTATTTAGAAATGGTTACGAAAACTTACAATTCCCTGCTCATGAGAAAATTCTGAGTCTAAGTATGTGAATAAAAACGCACACTACAGCGGTTTTGGCAGGCTTCTCAATCGAGCAGTGCTCCTTTCCTGACCTGGATTGTTCAAAAGAAAATCCGCACCTTGTCTAGTGGTCCATTATGAGTGGAAATTTGGAATCAGTGCAATGAATGCAAGAGATTTCCTAGTTCAAAACGCAAAATATTATTCATTATTTTGTTACTGCCTAATTTACCGCACTGCCGATTCCATCTACCTGTCTATCTTCCAAATCTTCAAAATAAATTTTTGATGTAATATGATGAAATTGGAAGCTGGAAATCCTCCGTACCTGCTCCTATTTTTCATTATTGTGGACTTCACAGTGAATGAAGAATTGAAAATTGTCACGAAAGGCACATGACTTATTTTTGGTCGGTGGAAACTTATCGTGGAGACAAAGCCCTAGTAGAATTGACCTTCAGAAAGCACTTTTCAAAAACCTTTAAAAAAACTTAGGTATTATTCTTCGGGAAATCCTTTCAGGTTATTTTTCAAGTACTTACATACATAGTCTTTTTAAAAAAATTACTACCTTCTAAAGATTTTTAGACATTTTTCTCAGACAATTGCAGTGTAACAGAACTCCAGTGGATCTTCTGAGAGCTTTTTAACACTCTTTACTTAAATTTTACCTCTTGTGTATTTTACTAAAAAATACCTGAGAAGGGTTTCCTATAAAACATAAATTTTAACAACTTGTTGAGAGTTGTCTTTTAACCAATTTTCCAAAAGTTTTTGAACAGTCATTGCTACTAATGGATGGGTTTCTCATTATGCATCACACCTACTCACATAATTGCGCCTGATCTTACCACATAAACTGATGCTAGACAGAGGTGGAGAGAGGAATAGAGAATTAAAAGGGAAAGACAGTTAAGTGAGTGGGAAGTTAGAAACATTCATTATACCTGCTCAACAGCAGATTTGTGGAAGTCAAAATTAACTGGTTTAGGTCCAGGTGATGAGACAGAGTGAGTTGGGGAATCAACAAATGTTGTCCACTAAAACAAAGATAAGGATTAAAATGAATTAATGGGTGATTTGGGGACATCAATAACCACAGAAAATAACTCGGGTAAACAAATTTCAAAAGGTGACAAATTTTTAGGTAAAACATTTTTAGAACAAAAATCCCGAGAGAAAATTTGTTTTCAGAGGGAAAATTTCATTTTTCCCTCTGAAATTTTCCTCTACCTATAGATTCTGAAAATATTATAAAATCAATACACAAAGTTTGGGAGAGGCATCAAGAAATCGCTTCTTCGCTGAGTACGAGGGGTATTTAAAAATGTCTGGGCAAGATTTTGGGTAGAACGCTGGCTTCCAAAATTGCTTCACAGGTTGTTGATTTGTTTCTTTGCCTGTACATTTGAATTTGTAAAGTTAATATATAGTTCCTGGATTAAAAAATTAGAAATCAATTGCGGTGAAGCAGCAGCAATCAGTGAAATTAAGGTAGTAGATCACATCTTTAAAATAGAAAAAAAGTCCATAAAAACGTAAAAAAGAAAGGAAGGAGGTTGTGTTCATTTTTGTTTAAAAAAATAATCATTTTTCAGATATATATATATTTTAATGTAAAAATAAGTTCGACTCTCATTTCAAATTTTCAATCTTGTGATGGAAAAGAGGGGGAAAAAATTAGGATGGAAAGTGATCAATTGGGTGGGTATAAAATTAATGGAAAAAAATATTTTTAAAAAAATCCAGAAAAAAATAGTTTAAAAAAAAAAAAAAAAAAAAAAAAAACAAATAGAAAACGTATAAAATTACGCTACAGAAACATTTCTGTGGGATATGAGGGCGAAAAAAACTTCGTTGCGCCAGGCCAGAACTCCAGAAGCCCGTTCGTGAGGCGCAAGCGAGGGCAACGCGCCCGTTAGAATAAAAAATCCAGCCAGAAAAGTGAAAACGGGGACGGGGACGGAGATGGAACGCGCTAGAAATACCGCGAAAGATCGCGAAATCCCCGCGCAACCCGCCCTCCCGAGGATCTATTGAAAAGAGCGGGACGGTTACGGTCATCGAAACTTCCCGAAGCCCGCCGAAGCTCTAGAACCGCGGTCTCGAACAGTGCCGAGCGTTCCCGAGGCGGGCGAGAGGCGGTTCTAGAACATTCGAGAGAGAGCCAATGAGAACCGAGGAGTATATAAGCGCGCGCGCTGCCCCCATTGGGTGAACTAGCAAGCGTGAACGAAATTCGAAAAGTGCGAAGCGATTTCAAAGCGATCTTCTCAGTGTACTACGTGCTCTAAACCGAACAAGCGATTTTACAGTGTTTTCTCGTGAGTGACATCTTGTGCGATTTACTAAGTTAACAACACCGTTCTTCGGTTTTATTGTCACTTAAACTTTACAGATTTTACGTACTTATTTCGTGTGTGAACTTAACATCAGTGAGTGCAAAAATGGCAAAAGCACCCGCCGTTGGAATTGATCTTGGTACCACCTACTCGTGCGTTGGAGTGTGGCAGCAAGGAAAAGTGGAAATCATCGCCAATGACCAAGGAAACCGCACCACTCCCAGCTACGTCGCCTTCTCAGACACCGAGCGACTCATCGGTGATGCCGCCAAAAACCAAGTTGCGATGAACCCCCAGAACACCATCTTCGACGCCAAACGTCTCATTGGTCGCCGATTCGACGATCCGAAAATCCAAGCCGATATGAAGCACTGGCCCTTCAAAGTTATCAACGACTGCGGAAAGCCCAAACTCCAGGTCGAATTCAAAGGTGAGACCAAAACCTTTGCCCCAGAAGAAGTCAGTTCCATGGTTCTCACCAAGATGAAGGAAACAGCTGAAGCGTTTTTGGGCACAAAAGTCAAGGATGCAGTCATCACAGTTCCAGCTTACTTCAACGACTCACAGCGACAAGCCACCAAGGATGCCGGTGCCATTGCTGGTCTCAACGTGTTGCGAATCATCAATGAACCAACTGCTGCCGCTCTCGCCTACGGTCTTGACAAGAATTTGAAAGGTGAACGCAATGTATTAATCTTCGATCTGGGTGGTGGCACCTTTGATGTTTCCATCCTGACGATTGATGAAGGCTCATTGTTTGAAGTTCGTGCCACAGCTGGAGACACTCACCTGGGAGGCGAAGACTTTGACAACCGTCTGGTGAACCATCTAGCGGAAGAATTCAAACGCAAGTACCGCAAGGACCTCCGAGGCAACAACAGAGCCCTGCGAAGACTGCGTACATCTGCTGAACGAGCTAAGCGAACTCTCTCCTCAAGCACAGAAGCTAGCATTGAGATTGACGCCCTCATGGATGGCATCGACTTCTACACCAAAGTGTCCCGCGCCAGGTTCGAAGAACTTTGCTCTGACCTCTTCCGCTCAACCCTCCACCCAGTTGAGAAGGCCCTGGCTGATGCAAAAATGGACAAGAGCTCCATCCATGACGTCGTCCTAGTGGGAGGCTCCACTCGCATTCCCAAAATCCAGTCTCTGCTACAGAACTTCTTCTGTGGAAAAGCGCTCAACTTCTCTATCAACCCCGATGAAGCCGTGGCCTACGGAGCAGCAGTTCAAGCAGCCATTCTCAGTGGTGACACCAGCTCAGCAATTCAAGATGTGCTTCTCGTCGATGTGGCGCCTCTATCACTTGGAATCGAAACCGCTGGTGGTGTTATGACAAAGATTGTAGAACGTAATGCTCGCATTCCCTGCAAACAATCGCAAACTTTCACCACCTACTCCGACAATCAACCTGCAGTTACCATTCAAGTGTATGAAGGTGAGCGAGCAATGACAAAAGACAACAACCTCCTCGGTACCTTCGATCTGACCGGCATTCCACCAGCTCCAAGAGGCGTGCCCAAGATTGATGTTACCTTCGACCTAGATGCTAATGGTATTCTCAACGTCTCAGCCAAAGAAAACAGCACTGGCAAGTCGAAGAACATTGTCATCAAGAACGACAAAGGCCGCCTGTCTCGAGAGGAAATCGACCGAATGGTGAACGAAGCAGAGAAATACAAGGAAGAGGATGAGAAGCAGCGTGCCAAGATTGCTGCAAGAAACCAGCTGGAAAGCTACGTATTCAACGTCAAGCAGGCAGTTGACGAAGCTGGAGACAAACTTCCGGAATCCGACAAACAACTCGTCCATGATGAATGTCAAGCTGCACTATCCTGGCTGGACAACAACACCCTGGCTGATGTAGAGGAGTTCAACTACAAATTACAAGAAGTCCAGAAGAAATGCTCGCCCATCATGAGCAAGATGCATGGAGCAGGCCAAGGAGGCATGCCAGGAGGAATGGGCGGTATGCCTGGAGGAATGGGCGGTATGCCTGGAGGAATGGGAGGCATGCCTGGATATGGAGGACAAGGCCCAACCGTCGAAGAAGTGGACTAAATGCGCTGAATCAAGCTATGGTTCTGGAGGGGAAGAAGATCCCCACCCCCACCGACTACAACACTCCATCCATCCCGAGTGACACCAGCGGACGAAGCAAGTTCCTACTAAACTTAAGAAGGTATTAAAAAAATACTCTACTTAGTCAAAATCTAAAGAAAAAATCTTGAGCTCTAAATCAATTTTTGCATTCCTTGTAAATAATGTACATAATTCTATCAATTCGATCTTTTTCATTTATGTAACTTTGTGATATTCAAGCACATTTTCTTCTGTTTAAAAGTTATCTGTGCTGTAAAATTTGTTAAGACTGATTTTTGTTAATAAAAGAAGACCTTAAGTGGTCAAAACAAAACTAATGAGTTCTATTTCTCAGTCCCTACCTACAAAACCTCTTTTGAAGAAAGAAAAAGAAAAATATAAAAAAAAAAAAAATGAAAGAAAAAATAAATAAATAAAAGATTAAAAAATCAATAGCATTAACACCTTGAATAATACTTGTAATGTTCCCAACTTTTGCACACAAGTTCATATGAGGTCTTCAACTTAAAATGAAAAAAAATTGAACCATTAAAGTAAATAAATAAATTTGAAGAAGAGGAAGGAGAAGAAAGGAAAAAAAATAGGAGAAAGGTAGGATACATTGCCTTAAGTATGCTTCATCCTTACTTTCTCCTTCTCAATTCCTTCTTTTTTTGTATTTTGTCCTTAATTTTCTATTTTTCTCTTACTGACGAAGCCTCAACATATAAACTTGTGTGTAAAAATGAATAATCTTCCTTGGGTAATAAAATTTGAATGAAATGGTAGAATTCCCAATATTCATCCAGATTCTTGAAAAAGCTGATTCTACTGAAATTATACCAAAAAAGTAATGAAAGTATCAAATGAGAAAGTTAATGAAAATAGTCCTTGAGGTTTCAATAAATACACTGCCAAAGCAGAATATTATCACTTAAACTTTCTGGATTTGCTTTTAAAATTCCTCTTAAGAAACAATCAAGAGTAAAAACTGAAAGAGTATCTGCTGCAGCCAAGGTATTAACCAAAAAACCATCTTATTTTTAGCGAATTGGCAACTTTCTTGTAAATTGATGGCTTAAGACAGAAAATGAAAATTTAACTATACCTATTGCAAGTCTTGGCTCATTTCTTATTTTTAAGGAGAAAACTGATCAGAAGTTAAAATTTTCAGTGAATCCTCTTCACTTATGAAACAAATCGTAAGAAGATATTACTATTTCTCGTTTTTTGCCGAAGAGTGATTCTTAATCATAGGTTGAAAACGTTGCCGCTCAATTTTTTATCTATCAACTTAAGTCATCAATTTTCAACCCATGCAAGCCATCAGACTGCTGAGCAGCAGTCAAATTCAACCTCCATTGTTTTGGCTCAGTTCTGTTAGGTTTTTAAATATTAATTTTTAACATAGACACTTCATGAAGTGAGGCTCTTTGACTTCACTATTCATCACAAGAATTGATGGCAGAAGTCAGTATTTATTTACATTCGTCTGCAACATGTTCTCAAGCTGTCTTTTTTCAACTTAATGAAATTACTAGGTGAAAAATAAATGGCCTGAGTTCGAAACCACCGATATCTGTCTACAACTTTGCAGACTTCCTGTCATACTTTTTTTTTAGAAAAATGAGCCACCTTATATTTTGAAAACTTCCTTGATTCTTCTTCTCTGTTAACAGCACATTCTGAACCTACGTATTTCATATGTAGGTTCATAATCTCATATTTGATCTAGTCTCTGAAAAACTGGTCGAAATCCTCCTAATTTTCCTCACTTTTAACAGAATTGAGAATATTCTATGCATATAAATGAATTTCAGGATAAAGAAGGCTTGTTTCTCTTCAAGAAATATAAAAGCAGAAATTCAGAATCCCTGCAGTGGAGATAGGTACATGGTTTTGCACTTCGGCCATTGATATAAAAAGTGACCAGTCCAAGACTAATCCTCCACACAGGTCACGTTAAATTTCCAATTAAAAAATTAGATATGATAAAAGATTAAGATACTTGCAAACCAACCTACATGATTTTCTCATTTAGCCATCAATATGTTTTTTGATCGAGTCTGTGATGACAAATCAGGAAGGCAACCATGTTTTTGCCCCATTTTTTATTTTTAGGGACTGTCACTTTCAACCTCAAAAGGCAGCATATTTCAATATTTTCCTTGCTGGGTTTGAAAAATATGATTTACTCACCTGTTTAACAGCAGTTGGCGATGGAGGTGATGGAATTAACGATGGGGGAAGTTTGTCAGGTAAAGGAATGTTGTTCCTCCTGGCGACGATTAAATGCATTGCGGTTGAAAATTCACTGAGGGACAAGGCTCCGTCTTTCCCTATGTCCGCCAACTGCCTGTAAATGCAAGATTAGAATGAATGATCTCTGACTTCCTAGGAAGATGAGAGGCATAAAAAATCCCTTACAAAAATGGAAAGAAAATATAAGTTGAAAATCACCAAATCTGGCATTCACTTTTTGCTAACATTTGTTGTGGCCTACTAATAGACTTTATCATCGCATGCAAATGATGAAGGCCCAGTTTTTAGGAAATCCATACCATAACAAAACAATTTAAAAAAAAATCTCATGATTCCATACAAATAAATCTCAAATTTCAACTGAGGTTGGCCCCTTTTAGTCCAAAATCAGACTATCCTAGGCAAAGTCGAAGACCTCTGAAAAGGAGGGCACATTACCTGATTTGACTGTGACAGTGACGCTCACCCTAATTACATCAGGGTTGAACGGTTTTGGATTTACATGCGCTAATTTCAATTGAAATTCTTTTAGTTTTTTCTTTCTTTCTTTTGAGAAAGTACTGCAGAATTCTGGCAAGGAGACATATTTTATTTACTCTGTTGCACAAAGGCACTTTGGAAAAGTAATGATCACTTCCATGGGAGGTACATTGAATAGATAAACTTAGATTTCACTGTGGAACTATTCCAACACATTAGTTCCATAAAAATTACGTTCTTCCTTAATTTTTGAAAGTTAGAGCTTATATACATTCAAATAATCAAAAAAATGGCTACCAGACAGGTATTAGAACATCCAAAAAGTAAAAGGGTTTATTTTACACATTTTGACTTGGATCTCATATCTTAATTTGTTGACAAACTATGTCTTTTGGAAGTGTTAAACTTATGTCGATGAGTGAGTTTCCTGGGGCTTGAAAACTTTAGTAAAAGGTATGTTATATGCAAATGAGCAAAATGCAAAAATTTGAGGAGAATCTGAGGCCAACGAGGGTCCTTTGTCTAAAGCGAATTTTTTGTAGTCAACTTTGTTCAATATGATTACTTTCACTGTGCTTCCTGGTGATTGACCGACAAAAAGAATAGAGTGCTAGAAAGATCTTACTTGTACAGGAGTTGTAACTTACCAAATTTTACTAAGCTCTTGAACAGGTAATCGAGACTTTTCAAAAAATATCCGAGCATCGTGGCCAGAAACTAAGCCAGCAGGGTTAGGCAGCGATCGGAACTGCTTTGCATAATATTCTTTTTGTTCACTGGTCATGACCCAAATATTGCCTTCATCATCACTGCTGTGTCTATCGGACTCTTCTTCGGTGCCCAACAGTCTTCTTTGCTCTTCGCACCATGCGCTCCCACGTTCACCTCCACTGTTTGTTGGAGTTAATGACTCGCTCGAAACATCGGGTGAAGTTTTCTTGGAGGCTGTTAAGGGGAAAATTCACATGAGTACATTGTTTAAAAACGGTACATATTGACTTGAAAAAGGATCTACAGTTCCTTGTTGAAGACCACTCCAGGAGCAATTTTAGTTAAGTTAAGCTGAAAGGTTGAGGTGGAGTTTGAATTCTCGACGTATAACACTCTCTAACATTCGAACGCTTAAGTGGTCGGTAATTTTATTGATTTTCATAGGAATTTGCATTTAAATGCAACAATAATGATCCCGGAGTTTAGAAATTCAAAAGAGGTTGTTCCAAAAACGCCGATTTTGGCCCCCCCCTGGATTCGGCCCAAACTTTGCTCAGATGTTGTACTAAGTGTCCCCGACGCTTGGGCAAAATTTCAGCCCCCTCGGATAATTAGGGGGGAGGGGGCAGGGGGGCAAAGTTGCAATTTTTTTAAAACTTTAAAAATCGATATCTCGCAAACGGTTTGAGTGTAAGTGTTGCGGTTTGCGCTGAAAAACGTTAAAAAATATTCTCTACAAGAATATTAATGCTGTTTGCAAGGTTGCGTAATTTATCGCGGTCATAAATCGATTTTTTCGATTTTGAAGGTTCGACTTTTTTTCGTTTTTCGTCTCCCCTCTCCAGGCGATCGTTGCTACGTGAATGAAAACCGGTTGAGGTGATTCTCCATGAAATTCTGCATCTGCTATACTTTGTTTGACCTTGGGGAAACGATTCGTTCGTGAGTTATAGCGATTTTTCTGCGCGTTACCGGTTACGCGCGGGNGGGGGGAAGCGGAGGGCGAATCGCGGCATAGAGGAAATTCGGCGGTTCGCAAACCCCTGCGGACCACTGCTATAGGAAACAGCTGGACTGATGAGCGGCTTTCCTCTCTCGTTCTTTTCCCCTCTCTTTTCTCTCTGCTGTGTTCCCTCCGCGAGCGCGGTCCGCACTCGTCTCCGAACCCAATGCTCACGCTCCGCTCTGCGCCGCGCGGCGGTGCCTCTCCTCTCTCGTGTACCCTTTGCTCCTTCATCATTGCACCCAGGTTCTCTCTCCTCACCGTACGCAGATCATCCAGGTTCGGTAGCCGGTACGGACCACGCGTCACAGGATTTTCTCTCTCCGCCGCGCCACATGCCGCTGTCGGAAGCCAAGCGCCCGATACTTATTTGCGATCTACTATTCTGTATTCTGTATTGCTTCCCACATTCTTGGCCATAATTTATTAATTGCTTCAAAATATTTTAGGGTGTTCGGCGAACACTGCGAACCTATGGACGCCACGCCACTGATTTCCATATTGAAAGCTGAATTACAATGTTGATCCAGACCCTGAGACGATGACACAATCGTCATGCAGAACCCACTGGCTACATATCAGATTTCTTTGAATAGGACAGAAGGTTTTAATAATCACAGAGATCAGCAGATCTTCTCGCCAAATTAAAGATGAAAAAATATGTGGCAGGAACAACGAAAAATTATTTCAAGTGAAAAATAAAAACAAAACGACACCTGCAAATTAAACTAGCTAATTAGAAAACCTCTACACATCAGTTTTTCGGGCCATTTTCTTTGGGGACATAGTGCCTTGTTTAACTAAGTAATTTTTTTTAAAATGTTTAAACACTTTTATTTTTAATTTGGTGCACAGCATTTGCCTTCACATGCAGAAGTAAACTTTTAAATTTTCCAAAATTTGCCTCAAGAAAAGTTCTCAAACTTTAAAGTTTTGATGGTAACAAATGACAATCTCAACAAATGACAATCTCAATTTTGGGCAGGAGGTAAAAATTGTAGGTATTGAAACCTTAATCCATATCTCTTATTAATTGAACAGAAAATAAAAATTTCGAAACCTGTTGGGACAACAAAAATTTCAACTCCATCCAGTGCTCAGATAGATTTATTTCATTCCTCTCAATCATGAAGTGTATTTTTACAGAGAAGATGATTGATGCAAGACCAATCAAGACAAGTCAGTCATTTCCAGCGGATGATTTTTGAGACTCTACTCGATTGCAAAGCAGGTGGTTTAAATGCAATGCAATCCTCAATCTTAATAGGATAATTTCAGGATGAGCTGATTCTATGTCATACAGATTACGGTTGTAGGGAAGTGGGTCTTGAAAAGAGACGCAGTAACTGACCTAGGTAGATTTGTCTTGGTATGATGTGAAAGGAACATATCTCTCACCAAAAAAAAAGAAGAAGAAAACAGAAATTAATACCTGATGAGACTCCATTGGCACGTAAAGTAATTGAGGTTTCGTTATCGGTGCTCTCTGAACAGTCTTGAAGCTGAGTTGAGTATGTATTTGTTGCATCACTCAACTGAATTAAATCTGGACTATCATCTCTTGCTGGCCATGGATCATCTGCTGCATTTGAAAACCTAGGTAGAGGTACCTCCAAGGAACTAGTTAATAGGTCTGGATGAAGTGTGTAACCAGCTTGGACGCAAGCGATAAGTTTCAGAGCTGATAAAAATTGCTGACAGGATATTGAGTTCCCTTCTGTTATTTTACATAATTCTAGAATCTGAAAAAAAAGGAATGATGAAGATACTCCATTATTGTCCAATTCATGAAGTGCCGTTATTACAAAAATTTGTAAACAATTTGAATTCAACATTCATTATTATGTCTGAGAGGCATTCTTTTACCTTCAGTATTGATAATTTCTAGAATGTTATATTTTTATGGCGGTTTTTTACAAGTATCAATGTTAGAAGATAAAAAGTTTGAAGTCATACACTCTACTGAAATAATTTGTCTGTAAAAGAAAACATATGTGAAGAAGATGCTACCTTCCATAATTTCCTCATATCTTGGGAAATTTTTCCCTGACCCAGCAAAAAATAATGGTGAAAATGCTAGAAATTTTGAAATAATGTTGGAAGTTGTAAAGACTAACACTGAATTTTTAAAAATGTCCCAACTTTTCTGAAGAAGACCTTCAATACTGGAAATTTTGCATGGAAGTGAGATGCTTGTGTTGATTGAGGATGAAATCGTTCAGGGTAAGGAATGGTTTTTCTTTCATATTCTTCTGTCACCAAAAAGGTATTTTTTTTCATCAGAAAACTGATCAAACAGACTAGTAATTTATCAATTTTTGGTGTGTTTTTTGTCCACTGTTTCGAGATTATTTCCAGCAAATTTCATGCAAAAATGCCGATATGCCTCATTTCGAAGGATCAAAATGTGAGCAAGAAACTTAGGATATGTCTTTCAAAATATACGTTTTTAAAATTTACAAAAATATACAATAAAAAAAATAGAGCTTAATCAAGCAGCAAAATAAAATTCACCTGTTGAATGGTGTTCATTGGAAGATTTGCACGCTTGAACATTTCTAATCCTTTTTCATATTGTATTGTATCCCCATCAGAGTCGCAATACATGTAAAACTCACTGGAGTACCGAATATATGAATTGGGAAGCTGCAAATCATCTGCCTGGAAAAGAGAGAGGGTGAAATTGAGTTTCAAATACTTAATGTCATAATGTTTATTTCACTTCACTTCAGTAGGTTTACACACTTAGAAAACACTTGAGAACAAAAGGTACTTTAAATTGAAAAATTGGAGGAGCTTTTAATAATAACCCTAGGCGTTCCACTACCTGTAGATGCTTCACATCCAAGGTAAAATAAGGAGTTGTCCTTAGATGGCAACAGACCTCTTGTTTTAGTCTGAGCAATTTGTAGTATTGTGACTTCAAATTTGGTATTATGTTCCCAGTAGTAATGCTGCTACACTACCTGGTTCAGTTTTTTCATAAATATGAAAAATAATTGCTTCTCATAAACACCGGATACGCTGCAGCGCAACGTTGTGGTACTTCACTCTTGCCTCTGAATCACTTAGATTTACTTTGACCTATATTTACTTGCATTACCTTTGAATCCTCAAGTTGGATTCTTCAAGGGAGGAGACAAGTGGTGGCTAGCCCTCCTTCTAGGTTTACTTTCGATTTGCGAGCGCAGACGACAAATTTAAACCTCTGCACAAACCAGTGTTCGCTACCATCCACCTTAAAAACCTATCTGTCTCATGATCGTATTGTAAAAGAACTTCTTCTCAATGATGATTCTCAACTTTTATGTAGTTGTGATTTCGGTGTTGCTAAAAATTTAAGTGTTGCAAGGCTCAAAGGTATTAAAAAACCTATTCAAACTTGTGTTCTCACTTCTGCAAAAGATAGATGTTTTCATGTGAATAAAGGTGACGCAAAAACACCTGCAAATCGAAAGTAAACAATGGCCAGCTTATCTGATGACACCTCTGTCAGTCTTACTATGGGGCTTAAGAAACAGTCCAACTTTAATAAACAAGAAACATCCACCTCTTGACTCCACTTAGACCAAGTGAGATCAAAGCATAGTTTTAGCCTAATACGATGATAAAGCTTCACAATCAATAGTGGGTCGTTTCCGATTTTACACGGGATACATAACTTCCGCTTGCTTCATGTATATTTCACGTCTTTACTTTCCTTTGAAATTTCTGTCTAAGATGACTCAAGATATTTTACATAAAGGCCAAAGATCCACTACCGTCATTCTTGCACTTGCTTCCTCACAGACTGAAGACCGCAGATCTCTAGTAGTACAAACCATGAAAAAGCATTATTTGATAAGGTTTCTACAATCCTTGCGTACTTAGAATAAATGGATAGCATGCGAACACTCTGATATGCAATTGAAACATCTTCTTACCATTTTAAACGAAAGAGCCTGAGTTTATTCACGAGAAATGTAGCAAGCAAGAGTTGAATGCGCAGCTAACCGAAGAAAAAGCAACGCCTGGCTGGCATTTTCAATTGAACATTTCACACAAAACACTTGTAAATAATAAATTATTAGAGTGCTTTAATAACCCACTAACAGTTGATTTGATACAACAAAAATGTGTGATAGTTAATCAATGACAGATATTTTTGAGCAATATTCCAAAAAACTCCCACCAGATTACATTTTTTGAGGGGATAAACATAACCTAAAATAACACAATCTGAATTTAACACAAATCTAGATCCAGCGTTGCCGGTTTGTTTCACCAAGATCGGCTGGACAGGGGCCGAGATAGCATTTTAGGCCATGTCCGCCATCTTGGATTTCGGAATTTTCAAAATTAGACCCGAAATTCGAGTTTACCGTCCGAAAACACCTCCTGATACCAAGTTTCAAATTAATCGGCTGGACAGGGGCCGACATAGCATTTTAGGACATGTCCACCATCTTGGATTTCTGAATTTTCAAAATTAAACCCGAAATTCGATATTCCCGACTAAAAATACCCACTGTTACCAAGTTTCAGCAAGATCGGCTGGACAGGGGCCGATATAGCATTTTAGGCCATGTCCGCCATCTTGGATTTCGGAATTTTCAAAATTTGACAACAAATTCCAGTTTCCCGTCTAAAAATACCACCTGATACCAAGTTTCACCAAGTCGGCTGGACAGGCCCCGAGATAGAATTTTAGACCATGTCCACCATCTTGGATTTCTGAATTTACAAAATTTGACCCGAGCTTCCCGACCAAAAATACCTCCTGAAACCAAGTTTCACCAAGATCAGCATGACAAGGGCCGAATTGGCATTTACGGCCATGTCCGCCATCTTGGATTTCTGAATTTTCAATATTTGACCCAAAATTCGAGGTTCCCGTCCGAAAATACCTCCAGACACCAAGTTTCACCAGGAGCGGCTGGACAAGAGCCGAGTATGCAAATTAGGCCATGTCCGCCATCTTGGATTTCTGAATTTTCAATATTTGACCCGAAATTCGAGGTTCTCGACCGAAATTACTCCCTGATACAAAGATCGGCTGGACGGGGGCCGACATAGCATTTTTGGCCATGCCCGCCATCTTGGATTGCTGAATTTTCAATATTTGACCCGAAATTTAAGGTTCCCGTCTGCAAATACTTCCTGATACCAAGTTTCAGCAAGAGCGGCTGGACAGTGGCCAAGAAATAATTTTAGGGCATGTCCGCCATCTTGGATTTCTGAATTTCCAAATTTTACCCGAAATTCGAGTTTCCCAACCAAAAATACCCCCCGAATACCAAGTTTCACCAAGATCGGCTGGACAGGGGCCAAGATAGCATTTAAGGCCATGTCCGCCATCTTTGATTTCGGAATTTTCAAAATTAGACCCGAAATTCGAGTTTACCGTCCGAAAACACCTCCTGATACCAAGTTTCAAATTAATCGGCTGGACAGGGGCCGACATAGCATTTTAGGACATGTCCGCCATCTTGGAATTCTGAACTTCCAATATTTGACCTCAAATTCGAGTGTGTATATATATAAATAGTCGCATTACAACGCACTCGGGCGTTCTACGACACCCAAACGCCACATATGCCTTTCTTCCCAGAGGTTCTCTGGCAACCAAAGATTACTAAGGACTCCAGATACCGCATTGGAATAAAACACGGCCCCCTAGTCCCCTGCAGCTCCAGGGTAGACAACCTGTTTAGCGGTATGCCATACTTCGAGCTAACGAATATACTGTTTGCCGTGTGTTTGACCGGTTTCGCCGTGCTGTGCTAAGTTTGGTTAAAGATTCACTGTATTAAATTTTCTTATGTCTTAAATCGTTAAAAAATGCCGAAAAAACCAAAAAAAAGAAAGAAAACAAAATCAATGCAAATAACTCTGCTCAATTTTCTGAGTCCATTTAAGTCCACTAGTGACTAAAATGAACAATTTTCGCAATTTGCCGTTCATAATCTGCACATTCGAAGTGCAATTTCCCAATTTCCCATGCGCTTCCATTACAGGTGGGCTAAAGTATGGCATACCGCTACACAGGTTGCCTACCCTGGCGCTGCAGGCGACTGGGGGGCCGCTTCTTTCCTACGGCAAGTATACGGCGTGCGGTATCTGGAGTCCTTAGTAATCTTTGATGGCAACTGACACCGCAACATCTCTTCGTCAACGCCCTGCCGTCAACCCTTTACGGGCCGTCCCCGTCGCCTCTTCCCAGGTGGTACCCAATCCAAAACTTGTTTGGGCAACCTCTTCTCCGACATTTTTTGCACATGTCCATACCAGCATAACTGCCTGGACATGACGTCGTGCATGATATCTTTCTCAACCTTCATCACCTGGCGAATTCTTTCATAACGGACACGGTCCCGTCTCGAAATGCCGGCAGATCGCCGCCAAAAATCCATTTCAGTTGCCCTCAACATTTCTTGCGTTCTTTTCGTCAAAGGCCACACTTCACTACCATAGAGCACGATACTTTTAACGATGGCGTCATATATCCGGTGCTTGTTTGCCTTTGAAATGCTCTGATCCCAGAGCAACCGTTCAGCATCGCGATGGCTCTCCTGCCCTGGAAGATCCTGTCCTTAATTGCTCTATCCATCCTTCCATCCTGATCGAGCCAAACACCGAGATACTCTTATACTCGTCACACTCTTCGATGCGCCGTCCATCCTTAAGCTCTATGCTTTGCCGTTGATGCGCTGCTCCCACGACCAGCTTCTCTGTCTTGGACACACTAACATCCATGCCCCATTTCCGATATTCTTCGACCAACTTCCGCATCATGTAATCTGCATCTTCCTCATCCTGAGCTACTACGTTCTGGTCATCGGCAAAGCATAGAGTATAAGGGGTCTGCTCATCAACGAGTGGAACGCCCATTCCCGCAACCTTATTTTTCCATTCCTTCAACACGTGCTCTAGGTATACCTTAAATAGAGTTGGTGACTAACAACAGCCTTGTTTTAGCCCTTTTGTGACGAAGAAACCTCCGGACAGCTCTCCACGGGATTTAACTCTTGCTATCCTCCCGTTATAAAATGATTTAATTGCCCCCACAAGTCCTTTGCTAAAAACCCCTTTTTTCCAAGGCTTCCCAAAGCTTCACCAACGGCACGCTGTCATAAGCTTTCTGAAGATCCACAAACACCATGTGCAGCTCCTGGCTGACCGCCCTTTTCTTTTCGATGACCTGGGTAATGGTGAACAAATGGTCGACGGTAGACCTACCGGCTCTAAAACCACCCTATTCTTCGGCTTCCTGGCCACTCCAAACCTCTTCGACCTTTGCCTTGAGAATTTTACCGCAGACCTTGCTCAAGGTTCCTGTGACCGATATACCTCTGTAGTTGTCGCAAATTTCACCGAGTACCAAATTTCACCGATATCGGCTGCACAAGGGCCGAGTTTGCATTTTAGGCCATGTCTCTCATCTTGGATTTCTGAGTATTCAATATTTGACCCGAGATTCGAGGTTCCCGTCCGAAAATACCCTCTGATACCAAGTTTCACCAAGATCGGCTGGTCAAGGGCCGAGTTAGCATTTTAGGCCATGTCCGCCATCTTGGATTACTGAATTTTCAAATTTGACCCGAAATTCGAGTTTCCCTAGCGAAAATACCTCCCGATACCAACTTTCACCAAGATCGGCTGGACAGGGGGCGACATAGCAAGGCCATGTCCGCCACCTTGGATTTCTAAATTTTCCAAATTTGACCCGAAATTCCAGTTTCCCTACCGAAAATACCTCCCGTCACCAAGTTTCACCAAGATCGGCTGGACCGGGGCCGAGTTAGCATTTTAGGCCATGTCCGCCATCTTGGATTTCTGAATTCTCAATATTTGACCCGAAATTCGAGTTTCCCTTCCGAAAATACCCCCGGATACCAAGTTTCACCAAGATCGGCTGGACAGGGCGGGCCGAGTTAGCATTTTAGGCCATGTCCGAAATCTCGGAGTTCTGAATTTTCCAAATTTGACCCGAAATTCGAGTTTCCCTCCCGAAAATACCTCCGGATACCAAGTTTCATCAAGATCGCGCTGGATCGTGACAGAGATAGCATTATAGGCCATGGCCGCCATATTGGATTACTGAATTTTCAAAATTCGAGTTTCCCGACCAAAGATACCCTCCTGATACCAAGTTTCACCAAAATCGGCTGGACAGGGGCCAAGATAGCATTTTAGGCCATGTCCGCCATCTTGGATTTCTGAATTTTTTAAATTTGACCTGAAATTCGAGGTTCCCGTCCGACAATACCCCGTAATAATAAGTTTCACCAAGATCGGCTGGACGGGGGCCGACATAACATTGTAGGCCATATCCGCCATCTTGGATTTCTGAATTTTCAAAATTTGACCCGAAATTCGAGTTTCCCGACCAAAAATACCCCCTGATTCCAAGTTTTACCAAGATCGGCTGAACAGGGGCCGAGTTTACCAGTCTCCCTTGGTAACATTACCAATAATTGGTGAAAAAAGTGAGACGGTAAAGTTACCAACGGACCTTGGTAAAAACGCCGAGAATTTTTTTCAGTGTGGGCGTTCCTCCCACCATCCAAACCCCACGCCCAACCTCGTATCGATTCGTTCTTACACCTCCGCTAGAGAACATCTTTCATTAGCGTCATTCATACGTTGTTGGGCGTTGATGAGAAATTTCAATTTTATCTCTACAAAATCTCGTTCGATGAAATCGAAATTTTATTGCAATTTATCGCGATAAACCGCCGTCGAAAAAATCGCGATTTTACTGCAATTTATCGCGATTTTTTATCCGATAATATTGCAATAAATCGACGTCGATAGAATCGCCATATATTCTCTGATTAAATCGCAATTTATCGCGAACACTGCTACTTGGGAATACTATCGAATAAGAAATTGCGATTTATGGCGATTAAATCGCTGTGCATCGCAATTTTTTGTTCGATAAAATCGAGATTAAATCGCCATATATCGCGATTTTTGTTGCGATAATATCGCGGTAAAGTGCCTGGCGATAAAATCACGATTTTATTGCAACAAGATCGAGGAAATTTGCTCAGATGTTGATGATCTTAGCGATTTTATCGCCGACAAAATCGCAACAAATCGCGATTTTTCCGTTGGAAAATGCTACTTGGGGAGGGCAAGAATAGCTCCTTTTGACCTGGGAACATCCCCCAAGTTTCAAACCTTTCCCTCAATTACGTGGGTGAAAAGGTGGAGGGCGTGGTAGGGACTTTGGGATCACCCTGTATTATAAAATCCTGGGTCCTTAAAATTGTCGAGATTCGGGGATTGATGTACTGATGTTACCGCTAGAGCGAGATTATGGAAATTTTACGAAGATGCGACACTACTTCAAAGGCTGAGAGGATGGGCATACACTAGATACCAACAATTTAGAGCTGAATTTATACCCATGGACGGAAAATACTGGTTAGTTAGGTATAGCTCTAGTTTAGCTGAAAGAGCTATTTAAACTCCTAATGGTTCACTGCCATAGTAAGCGTTTACTGCCCAATACGCGGGTAAAACATGTGTAAATGAAATGCTTCATTTGCAAGAAAACTTCATCAGCGCCATGCCCCATATTTTCTGTTCAAGTTTTCAACGACATGACACCGCCATTCTCAACAAATGACGGATTACGAGGTCTATTAAATAAGAAACCAGACTTTGGTGATAACTAGCCCACAATAGGACCGGATTAGGTTTTCTTGGACTTTACTGATAGCTGATAACATACTGAAGAACGCAAGATTCACAGATTTTGTTTATCTTGATCAATGTTCATTCTGTGTCACTTTGAATCCGAGTAAGTTAGGTGCGTTCTGTGATTTTCATCATACGATCACTGATGGAGCAAAGATTTAACATTATATTTTATGCTTAAGCTATGCAAACTAAAGTTTACCAAGATGGTTGTGTGAGTTGTTCGCACTCTTTTGAGTGGTTTAAACGATTCAAAACTGGTCAAGAGTCCGTTGAAGATGAGGAGCATGGGAATCGACTAAGTATCAATGGCAACTGAAGTTTGCCACGTGGAAGAAGTGCTGGCAAAAAGGCTCGAAAATGGTCATTTCCAGCTTGCTGAACAGTAAGATATTTCTAAAGGCTCTACACTACATACATAAAATTTTGATAGGATATTTGAGCGTGCATCAAGTTTCAGGTAAACTTGTCCTGTGATTGCTGTCCGTTGAACAAAAATCTAACATAATTTCGATATCCCTTGTGCTTCTAGAACGTTCTAGCAATGATCCTACATTTTTAGATAGGATAATTTTCGGTGACAGAACTTGAGTGTATGGCTACGATACGGAGACGAAACTCCAATCATCCTTGTGGGTTGAAAAAGGTGATGCAAGACTGAAAAAAGAGAGACAAGTTCGGTCAGACATAAAAATCGCAGAACACCCATGACGTTGCATTACTTCAAGCTACGTACCAATTAAATGATTAAGATTATTTAAATATGTGAATGTAGTGTTCTTAAGTATATTTTCAGCTGTCAGGAAAGTAAAAAAAAAACCTAATTCGAGCGCATTGTGGGCTACTTATCACCAAAATCCGGTTTCTTGTTGAACAGACCTTATATTGTTCCTCGATATTCATGTAATGGAACATTTTTTGGAGAAAAATTGAAGAAATCTAATCTAAAATTCGTGTTTTTTTCTTTCGCTGGCAGTTATTAGCTTGCAAAACGCACTCTAACCAATATCACCAGTATTTCGCGCGCGGCGCTGTTATGTTGACATTCCATGATTCCACCTGCGCTCTCCCCCGTGTTCAATCGCTACCCCCGACCCTTGCGCCCCTTTTGGTGTATAGCACTTCATTAGGAGCGCAACGGCCGCGGCTCTAAAATATTTCTCCTGAGTGCTCCACTATCAAGAATTAGCATTCTTCAGACATACATTAATACATATTCAAGACATGAATTTCGGTATTTACATGTATATTAATACATATTCAAGACATGAATTTCGGTATTTACATATATATTAATACATATTCAAAACATGATTTTGGATGTTGACAAAGCAGAGGAAAAAATTAGTACTAACAGACGTAACTTACAAACCACATATAGGTTAATCAAAACTTGTCCTTATAGCGAGGTATGACCGTTGAAAATAAATATGGATTCTTCCATATCTCCTACCGCCAGTTTTCGGCGTGAACAATGAGCCATTCAACTTCAAATTTTAAGAGATCTCTACAGGCAATTTTCTTGATATTTACGTGCTTTGTGAAAGATATTTGATTTTCTTTCCCATCTTTTAAACCTTCAAATCTTTACTTATAAAAGAACAACATTTTTGCAAGAAAAGAGAAAGTTTTACAACAAAAGAAAAAATAAATAAAAATAAAAAAACAATAAAATAAAAAAAAATTAGGGAAAAAAAGAAAAATAAACCAAGATATGTTGACAAAAAGGAAGGAACTACTTAAGGAACGATAGTCTTCAGATTGGAAATAGCACTTGCTAGAGCTGTTAAAGCTTCAACTTTCTTAATTTCCAACTCAAGTTGTTTCTCTGCAATCTTGATTTTTCTCTCCTGAAGTTCAATTCTCCGATTTTTTCTTCTCTGGTCATCCTTGTAACAAGTCTTGTCAAACTGGAGCTTTTCAAAGAAATACTCTTGAATGGACATCTTCCTTTCGTCTTCCACTGAGGTGTATTGCACACTGTTGAGTCGCGGTTTTTTAGATGGGGTTGCTGAAGTTAAAAAATATCTGCGTAGAGAAAAAAAATCAATCGGAAATCATGTCTATTAAACATCAATGTGATATAAGCCTGACGGTGTCACTTTGATGTAATCTTCATGTACTTTTAATATCAAGTTATAGAGTGTGAAGTTGGAGTGATAGGTGGATTGCATTTTGCAAAAAGGAACCTAAACCATTCCAATGTTGCTGGGATTGTGCAACTTACATTATTTGCAAATAATTACTGGAATCATGAAAAAAATTAAATTTATTAAGGTAATTTTCGTCTTGAATTCATAGCTTCTTGAAAGTAAAGATAAAAATTGCATAAATGATCAGCTTAAACAGGGTTATCCCAAAGTCCAGGACCCCCCTTGTAACTTTTGGATAAAAAATGCTGGAGATTCGAAATTTGGGGAATAGATATTCCTTGATCAAAGGAAACTACTTTTTGGCGTACCCAAAATTTCAGGAGGCGGCCCCCTGAGGGGGGACTCTACCTTTATTTTTTTCAAATGGGAACCCCTAACTTGTGATAGATTATTCGAAAGGACTTAAAAAAAAGAAACATTTGGCGAAAACCGATTGTCTATATCTGAATGTTTGACAATATGGCGGAAAATGCGTTTTTTGGGTTTTAACCGACGGATTCGCTTGAAACTTGGTTTTTGAAAATCCGAGATAGGATTAGTTTTTCTCGTGCAAGAAATCGCCTGGAAACCAAGTTCCTTGCGTATCCGTCGCTGAATAGCCAAAAAACGCATTTCTCGCCACTCTTTGGCCGCCTATATGTAAAAAAGTGAGATATTGACAATCGGTTTTCGCTAAATGGTTTCTTTTTTCATACCCTTTCGAATGATGAATCAAAATGATAGGGGTTCTTATTGAAAAAAAAAAAAGCATCGAAATTTTGGGTACCCCAAAAAGCACTTCCCTTTGACCTAGAAACATTCGCCGAATTTCGAATCCCTAGCATTTATCGTTCAAAAGTTATGAGAGGGGGGCAGACTTTGGGGTGACCCGCCATATTTAGGCCGCCATTTTGTTAAGAATTGAGATATTGACAATCGGTTTGCACCAAAAATTTTCATTTTTTAAGCCCTTTTGAATGATGTATCACAATAAAGGGGTTCTCGGTTGAAAAAAAAAGTGAGGGTCCGCCAACCAAAGTTTTGGGTACGGCAAAAAGTGGTTCCCTTCGACTAAGGAAAATGCCCGCCCCAAATTTCGAATCCCTAGCATTTTTTGTTCAATAGTTATAAGAAAGGTCCCGGACTTTTGGATAACCCTGTATTTGCGAGGCAAGGAGTTGCACAATCATAACGCGCCGTGGGAATGCTCTTGGTTCTTTTTTGCAAAATGCAATCCAAGTGAACACCGATACTTAAAGCTACTGTCACACGAGCAATCCGACAGTATCATCAATGACACTCGCGGATTGAATGGACAGTTGGCAGTGGCCCATTGCCGACTGCCCAGTCTGTGGCCACAGACTCTAAAGAGGGCGCGATAAGCTCTTAAAAAGAAAAAAAAAAAAAAAAACTCTTCCGTTTCTAATAAACCAACCGTCAAACGGAAACGATATGTTCGGACGAAAAAAAAACAGATCCACCCAATGAGCCATTGACCGACCCACCAGCAAGTAAACGGAAAGAAGTAGACGTGTTGGAAGAGCCTGTATGTCGGACAACACGAAAAAGATTTAAGAAAGCATCGTGATGTACTTCTAATCTACTCCCATAAGGAGACGATTTTGACTGTGATGTGTTTTTATTCTAGTTTTTTATTCTTACTTTCATAATTTATTCCTCTTGACTCTTTCTCATGTTTCTGAAATAAAAATCATTACTCTACCTTGTACTGCTCGATGTTTTTAACCAATTTGATCAATTTATTTTTTCTTTGCTCAAAGATTGAGCCTATCTCACCTTAGCGGTAAAAATTTTTGCGGTTAGCGGTAAAAAGTCATCTGGTAAAGGCACCTTAGCGGTAGAATTTTTTCTGGTTAGCGGTTAAAAAGTCATCCGGTTAAAGCACCTTAGCGATAATAAGAAGATTTTTCTAGTGAGGGTAACGTACCGCCGAATAACCACTTCGTTTTAAAATACCGATTTCCCGGACCCCCTTATTACGGCCGTCATTTTGAATTTAGGGTATTTTGAGGGGTGTTCCGGGGTCGGGCCATGTTTAACTTTGAGGAAGTTGTTCAGGAGGACCTACGGATGATGATTACATATATAAGGGATCTAACGAAACTTTGCGACCGTTTTTTTCCGGAAATGTCTATACGATCAAAACGAAAGTAAGCATGGTTCTTCACTGCTATGAGGTCTACATTAAGTTTCATTTTTGGTGAAAATCGGCCAAACCCTTAGTTCAGTAACGTCAAGGTCACTGGGGGATGATTTTTCGAACTCGTCCGATCTTAGTTGGTGATACCTCAAAACACTCGTTTCGTCGTAGCCTTCCAAACAACTCATATTCACCCACCCCATAAAACCGCCCTTTATCCTGAAAATCTGAAGTTCAAGGGGGACGATTTTCCGACCTGTCAGGCTCATTAGGTGCAACTGTTTTCATAGAAACGATTAGTCGAAATCTACCTTTCGTTACCACTGTAGCTGGAAGGCGTTTTTTTTCTAGTTCAAGGTGATTTTTTTAACGTTCACAAAGACGCCCTCGTCCTCCTAGAGTAGAATTTCATCTTCTACGACCTGAGTTCTTTGGCATTTTTCTCGTAAACGCACGAATTCAGCGTAAAATCGAGTTTTTTTGTACGAAATCGGGGTCTGAACTTACACATATGAATTTCATCACAAAATTGACCTTTGGCACCATTTAAAATGGTTGAAATTGGCTCAAATTTTGGCAAACATGTTTTTTTAAGGGTCATTCCATGTCAACTCGACGAGGTTTTGAACCTTGACCTCTCGGACCATGTTCAAACTTGGTGTGCGCGGCAAGTTCCTATTGAAAAAAAAATATTCCCCAAATAGGTCATTTGGTGTCGCTCCGTTGATTTTACATGGAATTTCAAAGTTTGGAAAAAATTGAGTTTTTTATGACCGATAAAACTTTGAACGGCTGTTACTTATCAATGGTTCATCGAAAAAACTTGAACTAGGTCTTGTTTTGAAGCTTTGAGCTTCTTCTTTAAAAAGAAATAAAAAAAAATTGCAAAAATTTGCTGTTGAGGCAGGGCAAACATTTTTCATGTGGAGAGCGAGCAGGCATCCCGCTCTCTCCCCCCCCCCCCCAAAAGGTGATAATAAACAATGAGCATCCATGAAAACATCCTATTCCCACTATTTAGAGCCTATCAACTATTAACAGCCATGTCAAGGGAATCTGTTCCTACTAATGACTTACATACAGGGTGTCTCACGAAAAACGAGCCACCTTGAATATCTGCCGAACGCGTCGGAATTTCGAAAAACGGTAAAAGACGTGTTCGTTTATATCGAGGGGGACACCTTTTGGCGTATTCGACATTTTCCCAAACCGCGGGAGGGGCGCGGGGCGGGGGGTGCCCCAC